AATAAATTCAACGGTGTAAAAATAAATTGATTTCTATGGTAAGAAGGCTTATCTATGAGTGTTTGAATTATGTGAAGTTTTGATTTTTTGCCCTCAGTTTGGTTTCGTTATCGTACTTGAAACAGTTGGCATACTTTTACAATGCAACAAATCTGAATCACCGCGACGCGTAAGTCTAAATTTTTCACATAAAACAACGTTCCAGGTATCAAAAGTAAGTTTGATATGTACTCTAATATATACTAAAAATTTGTCAAAAATAAATATTTAGAACACTGGAAGATATCGAAATATTTTTGTGTTCTTATTTTACCAGTTCCGAATACCCATTTTAAACACTATTATAAATTCACTCTTCGATGTTTTTTTTCATTGTAAACGTGACTTATTATACCCCTGCTTGAAAAACAGGAAGAAGGGGTGTAAAGTAATGGGATGTTTGTCCATCCAACCGTCTGTACGTCCGTCCGTCCGTCTAGCTGTACGTCCATCTGTCTGATATGCTCTGGTGTATCCATTTCTTATCCGCAACCCCTCTTCTACCACTGAATAAAGTTTAATGACGCTTCACAGAATTTAATGAGTCTTTCACAGAATCTTTGTTTAACAGTGCCAAACTGCACCTATTTTATTTTTGGATCTGGTACATAATTTGGGCTCCCTGAGAAAAATATAGATACTGCCATTCTTTGTAATATTGAAAGGTATATCTATCTCTTATACGCAATTCCTCCTATACAACTGAATAAGATTTAATAATACTTTCACGTATTCTTTATTGCATTGTGACATTGTGACCTTTTATTTTACTTTTTGATCTGACATTTATTTCGGGTAAAACATGGAGTTTGTCTTAAATAATCATAAAGGAGGCGTGGGGTATCATTAAAATGAGCTCAGTGCCCACAGTACCTCTAGTTTCTCTTCAACCTTTGGAAATACATATAATTTATCGGTAAGCAATTAATTTAACTTTTCTTAGGCATGCCAATGGATAACGTCTGGGACGTATAATTGTTAATTTAGGGTTGAATTGAATAAGAATCTCTAGGGTATCCGGAACCCGTCGGGTTATTCGTAACTGGTAAAATGGACACCTATGGTAAGTTGCGAAATAAATTTTTTTGAGGGAAGTCTGAACTTTTATGAAACAATATTTAATTCCACGAGTCATCGAACTACCTTGAAAAAACACTTGAATTTTGATATAATTCCTAGTATATTTATAGCACCGTCGAATCGGTTTCTTATTCGGAATTGGCCAAATAACTGTACACTTATTCAAATCATAGGTTCAGGGTGATTTACTTCTGCAGCACAACAGCAACCATGTTGCAATCTAAAGCATCCTGAGGATGTCTTGATTCAAATTAGGTTACATCATGATCCCTTTGGACTAGGATTAGTAAAAATATGAATTAATTAAGATTTTTTTTTCTTCTGATGACAAGGTCAAGATGATTCAGATGAACATTTTGGCACAAGGTCTCCTTCATTATTTTCAATGATCTTTAGATTTTTCTTTGTTAACAGGCAGAAGATGAGACTGACCTCAACTTGTTAACAAGACTGGAGATGAAGGACTAACTACTGTCTAACCTGAAATCTTTGGTAAGTCAGTTGTATGTCAAGCTCAAGACCTTGTGTTATGTGAATTAAATGAGATTATGACACTCGCATTTCTTGAATTTCTTGTTTCTTTTTTTGTTAATAGGTAGGGGTTTATGCTGGCATTGATCCTGTTTCCAAAAGCAGCTCGCCATGTTTCTGTGAGAGTCCAAAGAGATCAGCTAGAACCTGAAAATAAAGGTAAGATACAAGCTCTGCAAACTCCTTCTAATCTGTGAAAATATGTTAGCCTTTTTTCATTTATTAAGATTTTCATTAATATTTTTTTGATCCCTCATGATTTGTTATCTTTACAGACAGACTGCCATCAATTTTGTTTCTTTGACAGCAGACAAATATGCTTCAACAATAGTGCAGAGATTAAGGTTTGGGCTGCAAGTGATGGACACACTAAAGAGCTAAACTCACAGAATTCAATGGACTGTGCTGAGTACATTGTTATCAGAAAGTGATGGACACACTAAACAGCTTACCTCACAGAATTCAATGAACTGTGCCGAGTACATTGTTATAATAAAGTGATGGACAGTTGGACACACTAAATTTCTTAACATGTAGGATTCAGTGCACTGTGCTGAGTAACTCTTATCAACACAGTGATGGACACACTAAACAGCTTAACTCACAGAATTTAATGGATATTGCTTGAGATGTTGTTATTACAAAAAAACGATGGACACAGTAAATAGCTTGACTCCAGAATTCAGTGGACCGTGCTGAGTACATAACTCATAAAGGATAACTCCTGACATATTCACAGCAGATCACTCAAAGTTAACTTTGTTAAATTTGTAATAAGGCATTTGGAGAAAGCTAAGAGTGCTACTACATTATTGTACATTTTTTCATATACTAAGTTATTTTTTCTGAATGTTTTTTGTATCTGTATATTATATTTTTAAATAAAAAAAAATTCTTAAAGACTGGATTTTAAAGCAAAAATATCAAGAGAGGTAAATCAGAGATTGTCGGAATATCTAAGCCTTCGGCTCAGGTGAGCTTTTGTAATTACATTTTGTCCGTCGTCTGTCCGTCTAGCTGTCTGTCTGTCTGTCTGTCCGTCTGTAAACTTTTCACATTTTCAACTTCTTCTCAAGAACCACTGGGCCAATTTTGACCAAACTTGGTCCAAAGCATCCTTGGGTGAAGGGGAATATAAAGTGTTAAAATGAAGGGCCATGTCCTCAAAGGGGGAGATAATCAAAAAAAGATAAAAATAGGGTAGAACCACTGGGTCAGTAAAGCTGAAACTTATGTGGAAGCATCCTAGGGTAGTGTAGATTCTAAATTGTTCAAATCATGACCCCCCGGGGTAGGGCGGGACGACAATGGGGAATCAATGTTTTACATAGAAATATATAGGAAAAATCTTTAAAAATTTTCTTCTCCAGAACCACTGGGCCAGAAAAGCTGAAACTTATGTGGAAGCATCCTGGGGTAGTGTAGATTCAAATTTGTTCAAATCATGACCCCCGGGGGTTGGGTGGGGCCACAATGGGGAATCAAAGTTTTACATAGAAATATATAGGAAAAATCTTTGAAAATCTTCTTCTCAAGAACCACTGGGTCAGATAAGCTGAAACTTATGTGGAAGCATCCTGGGGTAGTGTAGATTCTAAATTGTTCTAATCATGACCCCCGGGGGTAGGGTGGGGCCACAATGGGGAATCAAAGTTTTACATAGAAATATATAGGAAAAATCTTTAAAAAATCTTCTTCTCAAGAACCACTGGGCCAGAAAAGCTGAAACTTATGTGGAAGCATCCTGGGGTAGTGTAGATTCTAAATTGTTCTAATCATGACCCCCGGGGGTAGGGTGGGGCCACAATTGCCCATCAAAGTTTTACATAGGAGTATATAGGAAAAATCTTTGAAAATCTTCTTCTCCAGAACCACTGGGCCAGAAAAGCCGAAACCATGGGCCTCTTGTTCAATACTGCTTATAACCAGTTAGTAGTACAGGCTCAGTTAGATGAAATAACACTAATATCAAACTTAATCTGCAACATCATCTCTTCGCATTCAAACCTTCAAGCCCCTACTTAAGTCTTTTATAGTAGACAAGCTTTTTTATCCGTTTACATTGTCTAAATATTAACATAATATAAAACAAACAGCAAAGATCGTTTTGTCCTCGTTGTTCAAAGGGACATAATTTGAGTTCTGGAACTTAACTTACAATATGCAAATTTTGCAACATACAATCAGCCGCAAGGCAAAATTGTATATTTAAATGATATCTTTGGAGGGTGGATGGTGGGGAGTAATTATAATATGTTGAATAGTTAACTGCGCCATTCTGTACTCAGTGCACTGCAGTACAATGCAACGCATTGTTCAACTTAGTCAATTTTTTATACTTGAATTAAAAAAAATCTCCCTTTTGCTTTGCAGTACAATGTAAATACTGTCTGCCATATTAGCTGATCAAAAGTTTTAAATGTGGAAATAAAAAAATTCTTTTTCTTGGGTGATTTGGAAAAAAATGTTTTTAAGGAGGCTAGGGGGTCAACAAATTATTTTCTTATTAATCATTAAATATAACTTAAATTTTGGGATATGATATCTTAAGCTGTCAACTATCATTTGGCAAAGAAAAATTTCATAAATTTTAGTTTTGAAATTTATCATTTTATTATATCTTTATATGGAGTTCTTCTTCTAAAGGAGATCAAAATAGTCTAAAAATGGCCACAACCACCCAGCTTTAAAAACAGACTGGATTAAATATTTTTATTCACATGATTGCTCTGTATTTCATACCCTCTTAATACTAGTATATTTTATCGAACTAGTTTTGGTGTGCATGTGCAAAACATCCTTTTGGACTAATGTTTTATACCTATTACTTTTCATGCCAATTTAACACAGGTCCGCATTTTCAAGGGGGGGGGGGTGTCTCAGTTTTCTAGGGGGGTCCAAGGTCACTTTTTACTTGGTTTAGTGTATCAAATTAATATCTCTGTAAATCCCCTCTAGACCCACACATGTAAGTGAACAATAGTTTTTCTGTTCACACAGTCCATTGTCTTTGAATATTTTTTTAACAGAATTAAGACAGGTACCCTATGATGAAAATTAATAAATACATGTAGTATCGATATGCACACCTGAATGGGATTTCTTCAGATCCTTGTGTACTGATCTATCAGTAGATCAAAGGATCTGATTTTAATGAGACTGACAGTCCTTTGATAGGGGACTGGCACTGATGACTCTGGATAAACTACATATAATGATCTCTATCCAAGTCCACAGTTCTAACCATTTATGATAAGTTTTGTAATACAAGTGTGTTTCATTTTTATACCTGTTTATGCATCTGACAAAGCAGTGATACTGTGTAGAGGAAGGAAGACAAAAAATAAAGATTCACACTTAAATATGATTGTATTTCTTGCCAGTTCTGCAGCAGTCAATACAACATGTATTTACCATTCAACAAATGATCAAATGCCCTTTCACACATACAATAGGAAACACACATGAATGATAACTTATGGTAACTTTAAAACATGTAATCTCACATCTCTGTCATTCTCTCCAGTATATACATTGTACATGTATCTACTATAATTCAATTCACAATCTGACATACTCGCATGTTCACACTTACACATCACAGTCTATGTATAATGATCAATTGTTCACATTTGTTATAAAATATTTTCAAACCCTCGAAAAGATTTTTTCAGTCTATGCACCTACACAAATGTACATAGAAAATTATATTTTTATAGCTATTAAAACTTATCAGATATAACAATCAACAAGCATCTTTAACAAATATCAGATTTTATGTGGTAAAGTTCTTTTTCAAAAATACTTGTTTCATCACTCAGTGATCTTTGAGTGCACTGGTAAATATGCCTGTTCATGATTACAGACTTCTACATGATTAAACACAGTCACAACGTTTTGGTTTTTTAGGTATCAAATAATCACAAAATATAAAATCACGAAATGAGATCTCCTAACCCAATCATTGAAGCTGTTGCCACAAGCATTGCAGGAATTAGTCCAATCCCCATGCCTTTAACAATCGGAGGAACTTTTGCATAAGTGATAGTCTTCTTTATAAATGGTATCTCTTTCTCTGAAGAAAGAATGGACAAGATTGATGCATATTTGAATCTGCCTTTTTTTGGTGTATTTTAAAAACATGTTTGAAATATTTCAGTACCAATAACATTTCAGGTGTTCAAATATTTAATTCTTCCAACTTGTATTTAAAAAGTATATTTATTATTAAATAACTGATACATTATTCATAAAAATTATATAGTTTTTAATTTAGACAAAAATTCTACATGTACTTACTAATAAGAGAGCCAGAAGCACCTGAAAATAAAAGAAAAATAAAATCAGCAAATGAAAACACAATGCAAAACAGCTGCACCATATACATGTATATTCATTTTTGTGTCAATAAAAGATAATCATATTAGGATGAAATTTTTCTGGATTTTTTTTTAAGTTGCTGCAGAAATGCAGCTCTCTTGGATGGAAATATTATACAGACAAACACACCCCCCCCCAAAAAAAATGAAAATTCTGTAACTAGGTTTTGAATAAGAACATTCAGCATATGAAATAATTACCTATACATTAAATGAAGATATTTAAAAAAAGTAATATGCATTAAATCACATAACAAATCTCCATGAATGACTTCAGATTCAACAATATTTCATTTAATTAAATGTAACAGTCACACCCTAGACTGTATAAGCTTTAGTTATATTGTAATTTTAAGAGAAGCCATTTCTTTATACCATCTTTCTGGAGAATCTGATCTGGTAGCTGATACAACATGCCGGCCATCAATCCTGCAGGAACACAATGCCACTTGCTGTCTGATCCTGTAGATTTGTTGATGACTAAGTGAGCCAGTGTATACCATAGAGCTAAAAAAGGAGATAAAGATAGTTTGATCCTGTTGTTTAATGTTGAAGGACGAAAACTAAAGAGAAAATGCAAATATCATTTGATCATCTGTTACTGCGAACTACAATGAACTTTGGATTGCATTTTTAAAACTCTCTGATAAACATATAATTTCATGAAGATTGCATATTATGAAGTTTTATGAAGTTAAAAGACTCTTGCACTTGAGTGCAAATCACTATATTCACATCTGAATATCTATATCTATATATATATATATATATATCTGGGAAAAAAATCTTACCCATAATTCCAAATGACTGTCCACCAGAAGCACTTTGTTTAGAAATTGCTGTTAATGCTCTGTAAATTAAAAGAAATTAACTATTTATGAATCCGAGAAACTACAATGCAAGACACTGAACCATCATTAAAAAGTTTTGTTTGATTGTACTCCAACCCACATATTTTGTGATATGTAAGTAACTGGGTATTTTCTTTTTAAAATTTTCTCATATGTTTACAATTAAAGAATCATTATGAAATCACAATACATCCAAAAAGTGCAAGAAAAAAAAAACAAGTTTTATTACTGTGTTTTAATTTAGAATATATGCTCACAATATCAAAAGCTGCATCAAGTTTCAGTGAAACTAAAAAAATGGCATTTGGGGGAAAAAATAAGGTAACAATTTCGAAGTACTGAATTGTAGATTAAGTAAGTGACAGCCATAGCACAACTAACATGATTTGCATTAAATACTTACTGTTTTCTTAAAATTTTATATGAAGTTCCTTTGAAATATTCACTTAACTGGGGTCTTTTGGGTCCTCCTACAGTAAATAAAAGAATATAATTAAAATTTATTCATAAGTACATATACATTGTATTCACATCACGTCTGTAATAAATTTGGGGAAAGTATTTTTAAACTACATTGAAAATAAATGCAAATTGCTCATGAAATTACAAATTTTGACAATAACATTACCTTCAGCTTCTCTTAACAATAATTCTTTCCTATATTTATGAAGACCATTTATGGCCCCAATTGATCCTCCTAAAAAGAACATAAATGTTTATATGTTTAATTTCACTACAAGATATCACATGTGTACCTAAATAATATGTTTTACGGTGTGACCGTTGGGGCGAGTGCAGTTATGAACTATCATAAACCTAAATGTATACTGCCTATCATTCAAGAAAAAAAAGGCAAAACAGAAGAAAACAAAACAATAAAAAGAAATCACTTCCCAAGCATCGGGATAATTTTGAAAAAAAATATGCTCATAATATCAACCGTTAAAGTGACAAATTTCAGTGAAACTAAACACAAACGATAGTTTTGTGGCATGGAGATTGCATTAAATCATTGTTTGTAATTTTTTTCAAGTATTGTTGTTGCTATGTTTTAGCCACCATGTTGCTATGCACAACAAAGGATTATCTGCATTTTAAAATACTTACTGCTTTCTTAAAATTTTATATGAAGATCCTTTGAAATATTCACTTAACTGGGGTCTTTTTGGTCCTCCTGCAGTAAATAAAAGAATCTAAGTAAAATCCATTAGTAAGTACACATGCATTGTACTCACTTCACATCTGTTATAAATTTGGGGAAAATATATTCATTTCTTACATCGAAAATAAATGCAAATTGCTCAGGAAATTACAAATTTTGACAATAACATTACCTTCAGCTTCTCTTAGCAATAATTCTTTTCTGTATTTATGAAGACCATTTATGGCCCCAATAGATCCTCCTAAAAAGAATATAAATGCTTAATCATGTTTTCACTACAAGATATCACATCATGTGTACCGATAGTCATACCTAAGTAAATCTAATACAAGTACATGTAAACCAATCATCAATTCAATTATATATTCAATTTCATTGAATTTGTTCCTATTAGGGATTGAATACCTTAAGGCTATCTAGACTACCGTCAGGGTCTTTCTATTTATGCCATAAGAATGCAGATATGAACGGTTACTTAAAAAGAATAGGTCAGTACATGTTTCGAATGGTTTCCTTAATAGTTCTATAGTTTTATGCTATTTAATTCTATAAAGAGAGAGTACCTACCTGTCAAAACACTATAACCTATGATAGCGAAACTCTTTTCCCACATTCCCCGGTGCCCTGTGGCTCCCTCTGGGTATATGTACTGAGACTCAGGATTCTACAATAAATATATAATTAATCATATTAAAAATCACTAACACTTTTACAGAAATGTATCTGAATTTTGTACAGTTATTTCCAATTGCTATATTTTTTTTCTATCTTTTGTTGTGTGTGTTTGTGTTCTCCTTTTTTTGTTTTAATTTTTCCTTTGTTATTATCCATTTTTTTTTTTACTTTACTAGAAAGTTACATACAAAATACAGGAACAAAACAAAATTACCTGTATGTAAGCTGGGTTAAAATTCAAGTATGGCGACACCACAGCACCTTGCCCTGCCGTCACTGCAACAGATAAAGTAGTTTCAACGTGTTTCTTTGACCATTTTTTTTCATTAAAGTACACGTTATCTAAAGATCTGTCTTATTACTTTGATTATCATTTATTTGCCTGGCAGTCATATATATTTATCACTTTTGCGACAAATTTTTCCCCAACCTTTTTTTTCCAGATAAATCAAAATCATTATATGACTGTAGTATTTGTGGTCTATAAATAAAACAATTTGATATCTCTTAATAAACAAACATTTTAATTACAAGATATGGTAATATTCTGCACAGTTTCTACCATATGCATAGTGTGTCATTGACAATGATTTACTATAAATGATGTAAAATTTCTTTCAAGGTTATCTGTGTTATAAAGAGAAAAATAATTACCTGGAACATTTATGTCTTGTTCTGAATATGGGGCATATGACCCATATGTCGAATTATCTTTTCTTCCATTCATAATTCTGTTGAAATTGTCAAAACAGGCTAAAAACAAGGATTGACTTTTACATGTGCGTTTTATAAGTTAAAACGGAAGTGCTGCAATAATTATTCATTTAGTCAACTCGTCAAAATATATTTCGTATGATTATATGATCAGCAAAGCTCTAGGTGATCGTCTTATATCTTTAAAATTTTTATGGTACCTTGACTAAATGAGAGGTTATGTTAAAAATATACCAAACAGCTTTGAACTTTGACTTTTCTATCAGTACAAAAAAAACACATTCTTTCGAAATATTTACGTACCAGTTAATGCAACACTTGGTACATGTGCACTTGGTTTCACTTTCCCACGTGTTCCTCTTTATTACTTTTATTTTATGAACTGGTAAGTAATACACTGATAATGCACAGATGCACATCTAATGTCATCTATCATGAATCAGGAATATATTTAACGCTCAAAATATTTGTATAAAATTCAGAATAAATGTTTCTGCAGAGACATTTAATTAAGAGTTACTCACTGACTGCTGTTTATGTTTACATGAACTAATCCTGCTGCATATGTATATGCTGTACAACACCTTATTTAGAACAATAGGTTTATCGTGATAAGTTAGGTTTCTGTTAAAAAACATATGGCTAATGGGAATTGTATTTAAAAGTACCCAATTAACATGATTAAGAGGGGGGATATATAAATTGTAAATTCACCAGGTCAGGTAATATTATACAGTTGTTGATTGGGGTAGAGGGAAGTTGATTGTTGGACCAGAGTGTAAGCTGTTGCCCAAGACCATAGGTCACAGGTCGACTGTTTCCCAAGACTCCTGTCAACAACTGTTTTGATTTACTCAATTGCTGAATGAAAAGATAACTCAGTTCGGTGCCATATGATGTCAGCTGGCAACAGTATACAGTTAAAGTATATCATTAAGGCCATTACAAGTTTTTTCTCTGTTTAGCGTCCACCCATCTTTTAAAAACCTACCTACCTATTCGCAAAAAACACACAAGCCAAAACACATCTTCGCTAGCCAAGGGTTTCTGATACGCTCCTCTCCTCATAAACCCTTGGCCTACGGTGAAGTCAAAAGACGGGATTGTTTTCCGTCACGTGATCTTGAATCTATCAGGTACGCACAGATTGCGTCATCGCCAGAAGTAAAGACATTTGTTAAAAAAAATTAAATCAAAGTTTTTTCAAGAATAATTAAGAAGCAATAATTGAGTTATGTTTATTCATTATTTATAGAACAAATCTGAAGCTTCAATATAGATTCTTAATCACATATTTAGAAGATATTGGATGATACCATGGCTATTCATAGAATTGAATGTTATCTTACGGATCGTTGTTTACTTGCGTTTTTCATTTCCAAGATTAAAGAGTGAAGATGTATCCGGAACGCAAATATCGTCATTTACAAAAAACAATTGCTGATTGGTCGACCTGGGTGTACTGAAATCCAATCAGAACTCTGGAAAAAAAATCATTTCTATGAACACCGTAGGCCAAGGGTTTATGAGGAGAGCATCGTATCAGAAACCCTTGGCTAGCGAAGATGGCCAAAACATAAAACACAAGCTTAAAAGTCATAAAAATCACATCCTTCAAATGATTTGATCTAACTAAACTGTTTTAATAGAAGAAATATCTATTCATAAGCAAAAACAAGGGATTAAATGCTTTAAATACACCCATTATAACTTACTGTACAGAATTATTTGGAGAAATTTACAAAATAAAAAATTTCGACTAAATTTTATCAATTTCAGGACTCCTGATGTTGTGTGTTTTTAGCTCTACTGGTCAGAGACCAGAAGAGCTTATGCGATAGTAATGCATCCGTCGTCCGTCCGTCTGTCCGTCTGTCTGTCTGTCTGTCTGTCTGTAGACAATTTTTCAAAATGCTACTCCTCCTACAGTTTTGGTCCGATTTCAATATAACTTGGCACACAAGTAGACTACACTAAGATACATAATTTTTTGCATTGGTTTTTGATTTTGATGAACGGTGTTGCCATGGTTACTAAAAATAGAAATTTCTGTGAAATTCTTTCAAAATGCTACTCCTCCTACAGTTTTGGTCTGATTTCAATATAACTTGGCACAAAAGTAGACTACACTAAGATACATAATTCTGTGCATCGGTTTTTGATTTCGATGAACGGTGTTGCCGTGGTTACTAAAAATAGAAATTTCTTTGAAATTCTTTCAAAATGCTACTCCTCCTACAGATTTGGTCCGATTTCAGTATAACTTGGCACACAAGTAGACTACACTAAGATACATAATTCTGTGCATCAGGTTTTGATTTCGATGAACGGTGTTGCCGTGGTTATTAAAAATAGAAATTTCTGCGAAATTCTTTCAAATTGCTACTCCTCCTACAGTTTTGGTCCAATTTCATTATAACTTGGCACACAAGTAGACTACACTAAGATACATAATTCTGTGCATCGGTTTTTGATTTCGATGAACGGTGTTGCCTTGTTTACTAAAAATAGAAATTTCTTTGAAATTCTTTCAAAATGCTACTACTCCTACAGATTTGGTCCGATTTCAGTATAACTTGGCACACAAGTAGACTACACTGAGATACATAATTCTATGCATCGGTTTTTGATTTCCATAAACGGTGTTGCCGTGGTTACTAAAAATAGAAATTTCTGTGAAATTCTTTCAAAATGCTATTCCTCCTACAGTTTTGGTCTGATTTTGATATAACTTGGCATACAAGTAGACTACACTAAGATACATAATTCTGTGCATCGGTTTTTGATTTCAATGAACAATGTTGCCATGGTTACTAAAAATAGAAATTTCTGTGAAATTCTTTCAAAATGCTACTCCTCCTGCAGTTTTGGTCTGATTTCATTATAACTTGGCACACAAGTAGACTATACTAAGATACATAATTCTGTGCATTGGTTTTTATTTTGATGAGTGGCAAGGATCATTTTTCTATTTATTGCTGATTTAAAGTCTCAAGTCCCAACTGCTACTTTTCTCTTCCTTTGTTTTAAGTATAATCCAGTAGAGCTACAGTCTCGACAGAGACTTCTGGTTTCTGATTTGGGGTGTCATAAACCAAGGCGCACGCTGATGCTAAACATAGAAAAAACTTGGAATGGCCTAAGGGAGTTAACAACTTCAAGATTCCAGTTCCCCAAGACCAGGACTATTTCCCGAGGTGCAGCACACCGAGGAAAATAGTACTGGTTGAGGGGAACTGGAATCTTGCTAACTCCCTCAATGATATACTTTTTAACTGTTTTATTATACTGATACAAATAGAGGATTATGAGTGGCGGGGAATTAGCTTCAAGACTAATGCTCAGGGAATTAGTTTATTAACATATTAGACCAATTCCAAAGTAAAATGTAGAGGATTAAGGTTACTGGGGAATTAGCTTCCGAAGCAGGGATTAGCTCATTTAACTAATGCACGGGAAACTAGTCCATTTACTGAGATTTCTGGGGAATTATTCACATTTTAATGCCTTACTTTTTTATAGGGAAACATCAGTGGAGGTAATCTTTTTTAACAGTCTATTTTAAGAGTTCCTGGACCAATAGTCAGTTGAACTTTTTAAAGTAAAAAATTATATAGGGACTGTTTAGTAGGGGTATATTAGTATAAGAATATTTAGTATTGATAGCTTGAATTAGTTTGATTTGAGGTAATGAAGGTATTTTATCACTTTTTTTTAGCTCACCTGACCCGAGGGCTCAAGTGAGCTTTTCTGATCAAAATTTGTCCGTTGTCTGTCGTTGTTGTAGTCGTTGTTGTCGGCTTCGGCGTCGGCGTTGTCGTAAACTTTTTAAATTTTCATCTTCTTCTCAAGAACCAATGAGCCAATTTCAACCAAACTTGCCACAAAGTATCCTTAGGTGAAGGGAATTCAAGTTTATTCAAATGAAGGGTCACGCCCTTTTCCAAGGGGAGATGATTATGAATTAGAGAAAAATTAATGGCATTTTTAAAAAATCCTCTTCTCAAGAACCACTTGGCCAGGAAAGATGAAACTCATATGGAATCATCCTCAGGTAGTGTAGATTCAAATTTGTTCAAATCATGACCCATGTGGGTAGGGTGGGGCCAATATGGCCGATCAAAGTTTTACATAGAAATATATATGAAAAATCTTTTAAAATTTTTTTATCAAGAATCATTGAGCCAGGTAAGATGAAACTGATGTGAAATCATCCTCAGGTACTGTTGATTCAAGTTTGTACAAATTGTAACCCCCAGGACTAGGGTGGGGAATGGCCGATCAAAGTTCTACATAGGAGTATATAGGAAAAATCTTTAAAAATCTTCTTCTCAAGAACCACTGGGCCAGGAAAGATGAAACTCATGCGGAATCATCCTCAGGTAGTGTAGACTTATGTTTGTTCAAATCATGACCCCTGGGGGTAGGGTGGGGCCAATATGGCCGATCAAAGTTTTACATAGAAATATATAGGAAAAATCTTTAAAAATCTTCTTCTCAAGAACCATTGAGACAGGAAAGATGAAACTCATGTGAAATTATCCTCAGGTAGTGAAGGTTCAAGTTTGTACAAATTGTGACCCCCGGGGATAGGGTGGGGCCAAAATGGCAAATCAAAGTTTTACATAGGAATAGATAGGCAAACCTTTTAAAATCTTCTTTTTAAGTACTTCATAGCCATGATTAGTGATATTTATATAGAATCATCCTCATGTAGTGTTGATTCTAGCTTGTTCAAATCATGACCCCTTGGGGGGCTAAAATTCAAGCCCCCCCCTCCCCCCAACCTCAGTAAACTTTCAGTTCTAATCCGATATGTGCTTTTTTCTAGCCGTTGTGTTCAGGTGAATGATGTGGCCCCTGGGCCTCTTGTTATAAATGTGTTATTTATGTATATCTTTGAAAAGTTGCACCTCAACGCATCGATAGAATTAGAACTTTGAACTCTTCTGAAAACAACACGTTTGAAAAAATCAATCATCAAAATTGTGTCTCCTTGAGATGCTTATGAATATGTACTAAAAATTCTAAATTATCTTTGAATTTGGTTGCTTTTTGATATTTTATGGTACATTCATGAATAGTCAAATACTTGCAATATTTTGTCTATTTCTTACAAGAAACAATTTTTTGAAAAACTGCATAAGTAGCTTTATCAAGCTAGCAGCTTTATCAAGCTTCTCTGAATGGATTAATAAAACAATATGAATAAAGCTAAATCAAGAGATTGTGCATGACTTCAGAGTAACCAGAGTATGGTATGGCTTCTATAAAATGATTATAAGCCAAACAATGCCATTTAGAATTTGTTCTTACTTTTAATCTACTCAGTCTCCACTGATATGCTCATTGGCATATATCTAATTGGTCCTCAACAATATTTCATTCATGAGAGAAATGGTAAAATTTTGGTCTAGAAAGTGTCAAGACTATAACTAAATAGTAAAAAAAAAATACTGATGTGTTTTTTCCCTTTATATTTTTAGGTTTCAATTTTGTGACTTTTTCAGCCAGAAGGAACAAAGGGAAAAGGGGATTTCATGTGTATTTGATTGTGAAAGTTTAGTTTTAATTGTGTCTTTCTTGATAAAGAATTTGAATTCCTTTTATCTGACAAATAAATGTCACCATTTGAAAGTTTAAAGACAAGTTTAATATAAAGTGACAACCATGGACCCAAACACAGATACCAAGGAATGTTCAGTGGAAGATAATGGCATGACAGTTCTTACCAATGAAAGGGTTCTTGTAGAATCTTCCACTAAATCTAACACAACCAATGATCAGCTCAAAAATGATAATGAGGAAACTAATTCCCAGTTGTCATCCACAAAGATTGTAACTAAAGAATCAGAGGAATTGACAATTATTGGAACTGAGAAGAGGCAAGACTTAATTGACATTAATTTTGCAAATGGTGAAAGAGATGAAAGTAACAACAAGCCTATTGATGAAACTGAAAGGGACAAAGCACCAGAACTTTTACCAGTATCTACCAGCACAGAGGCAGTGAATCATTCTCACTCCTCTGACATGTCCACCCATGATTCACAAACAGGGACAAAAACAGCAGCAAATACAGAATCACTTCCCTCAAGCATTTTGCCAACTGAACCATTGCCTTCTAAACTGACAGAAGTAATTGTGATAGATGCAGACAATGAGTTGTGTAAAACAGATGATAAAGCTATTGAATCAGCGTACAGAGAGAAACAGGGTGAATCGTCTGATTCCAGCAGTGATTCCGAGGATTCTGTGATATTAACACATGAAGAAAAGTGTATCGTTATTGATTCTGATGAGGAAAATAAGTAAGTAAATAAGTATAGATCTTTATATGCAATTTTTGTCATCAAGCAGTCCATGTTTCAAACTTCAAAGCAATAATTTAAATGTTTTTTTTTAATTTTTTTTTAGAGCAAAAGGGAAGAAAGACAGTGACTTGAGGACTAAAGGAGAAGTTTACCCTGAGGTAAGTACAATTTAGATTTGATCAACTCAGGGGTGGAACTTTGGGTGGCAATTTAACTAGTACTGGTAATATGCAATTTTTCTCAAGGAAATTGATAAATTGGTATCATGGTTTGTCACAAAATATTTTACAGGAGTTACCTCCCCTTGATGATCTTGTTATTACTGTGGATCCCAATGTAGAACTTGTCCATACCGGAACTATCACAGGAGTTGTGGGATGTTTGGGTTAGTACACATATTTGCAGAGCTATATATTACATAAATGAAAAAAAAATGCTTGTAGGTGTTTCAATACATTGCAGTATAATAATCTTTATCTTTTCCAGTGATAGTAAAAGCCAATCAAAATATTCCTCCTTTGAATGAGAACACTATTTTGTTTCTGGAAGGAAGAGTGGTGCTTGGTCAGGTAGTTATCTTTTTAGCTCACCTGAGCCGAAGGCTCAAGTGAGCTTTTCTGATCACATTTTGTCCGTCGTCCGTCTGTCTGTCCGTCCGTCTGTAAACTTTTCACATTTTCGACTTCTTCTCCAGAACCACTGGGCCAATTTTGACCAAACTTAGTACAAAGCATCCTTGGGTGAAGGGAAATTTAAATTGTTAAAATAAAGGGACATATCCCCTCGCAAGGGAGATAATCAAGAAAAGACAAAAATAGGGTTGGGTCATTAAAAAATCTTCTTCTCAAGAACCACTGGGCCAGAAAAGCTGAAACTTATATTGAAGCATCCTGGTATAGTGTAGATTCTAAATTGTTCAAATCATGACCCCAAGGGGGAGGGCGGGGCCATAATGGGGAGTCAAAGTTTTACATAGAAATATATAGGAAAAATCTTTGAAAATCTTCTTCTCAAGAACCACTGGGCCAGAAAATCTGAAACTTATGTGGAAGCATCTTGGGGTAGTGTAGATTTTAAATTGTTCAAATCATGACCCCTGGGGGAAGGGCGGGGCCACAATGGGGAATCAAAGTTTTACATAGAAATATATAGGAAAAATCTTTGAAAATCTTCTTCTCAAGAACCACTGGGCCAGAAAAGCTGAAACTTATGTGGAAGCACCCTGGGGAAGTGTAGATTCTAAATTGTTCAAATCATGACCCCCCGGGGGTAGGGCGGGGCCACAATGGGGAATCAAAGTTTTACATAGAAATATATAGGAAAAATCTTTGAAAATCTTCTTCTCAAGAACCACTGGGCCCGAAAAGCTGAAACTTATGTGCACATTGAAGGATCCTGGGGTAATGTAGATTTAAAAATGTCTAAATTATGATCAGTGGGGTAGGGTGGAGATGCATTATGTATTACAAGGAGGAAATCTGGTAAAGAAGAGAATGGTCAAAGCTTCTCAGGTGAGCGATGTGGCCCATGGGCCTCTTGTTTCTATATTACTTCAGGATAATATTACTTCAACATCTTTCATACTGGGGACAAGATTTAAAGAGTAATATCTTGTCAAGAACATTAGATATTCAAATAAATTCCTTCAATATTTCTTTATCATAAATCAGCTAATAATTACAGGGCTTTTCAAAAAGGTTTTTTTCTTTCTTTTTTTTATGAAAATAGAGCATATTTGACAAAAATTTTTTTTTTACCTTAAACATCACACATTCTTTATTTGCTGAATCACTCCTATGTAAAAGTCCAACCCTTATACCCCAGTATATGTTTAAAGGCAGAAGTAAATTGAAATCCATATGATTGTTTGATTTACAGAAAGCATTTGGAGATTCTAATGTATGAAAAGATTGCTGTCAAATCATGTAATGATACAATACTTGTAGTTTTATTTTTGATGTGTTTCGTTGTCAGATCTTTGAGGTGTTTGGACCAGTAGGATCCCCGTGGTACTCTGTCAGGTTTAACAGCATCACAGACATCGAGACGAGGTCCGTCAGCAATGGAGAGAAGGTGTACTGTGCCCCCAAAGTAGAGAAGCTGACCAATTATGTGTTTGTGGAACACCTCAGACAGTGAGTGTATACTTCTACATCAACCAGGGTTTGAAATTAATGTCCCAGACATGTAAAAAAAAATGAAACTCTAATTTACAGGGGACTACGGCATAAAAAAAAACTTTAAAGAACCCTGTCAATAACATTTGTACATAATGCTTAACAATTATAGTTATCAAATAGTTCAATATTGCAATGGTTCATTATCAGCTAAAGTTTCTCAATATTAATTTCATTAGAATGAAAGGTTCTGATGCATCCTGGGAAGACAATAATGAACCACCAGCAAAGGTAACTTTTAATGGTTAAATAATTCCCTCCTCATAGAGGGAAGATATATTGGTTTTGATATGGATGTAAAATATTGTCACAAATTTTGTCTAAGCTACACTCTTTTTGGAACAAATTGAAAATGTATAATATTTACTATGAGAGTTCTTAATTTTTATTCAAAATCATGTTTTTTCAGATGCACAGCCATATGGAATTGGTTATAAAAAAAATGGCTAATGCACGAAAAAGGAATTTTTTTAATGACTATAAATTAATTAGATATTCAAAATTATTCTCAATGGATATCATCATCTCATGTTGAATATAAATTTTCTGATTTTATCTTAGTACATTGATTATTCTGATGATGAAGAAGAAAGAAGAGCCAAAGCGAAGGCGCGTAACCGTGGTAATGAGGAAGACGGTACCCAACTTCCTGGAGCTCGTAAAGTTCGCAGAAGAAGACAGAAGGACAGGTATAAGATGGTTCATCTCAATTGACGTTTGTGATTAGGATTTGTTGTTAATGTATGGTAGTTTAATACAATTTTTTTTTTTCGTATTTTCAGGCAGTCCTTTGAACCTGAAACAGAAGAAACGAATTCAGGTATTACACCTTTCATATGTCAGACTCTGTTATATTTAAAAATGCAGTGTATATACTGTATACGATTTTGAATTGCTTTTGATTCTGAAAGATTATTCTATGGAAATCCTTTTCACTGTTTCAGATTTTTAACTAATGACAGTTCATACATGTATTACAATGATCACATACAGAAAAGAAATTGACTTAGCAGTACAAGGGCTTTTATTTCACTTTTACAGACGTAATGTCCTTGATTTTCACTTTTTTAAAAACAAATTCAATATATATGTACGTAACTGGATGGAAATAAATAATATGTCCTAAATACAATATGATATTTGTCCATCATTAGGTTCATCCAGTTAGAATTTAGTTTACATTTTATAATTTAAAAAAGCTAGCTCTATTAAACGTATACGTGTATAGCTTTGTCTCTGAAATTTTTTTATCTCTAACAGGTGCTGGGGAAAGAATATCTGGCAACTTTGCCCATGCAAATCATGGGGAGTATAGAAATAATCAGACTGGCAGAGGGAGAAACTTCAACCAAAGAGGAGGAAGACATCAAGGTCAACCTAGAATGGAATACCAGTCCTTCCAGCCATTCGGAGCACCTCCAAGGTTTCCACAAATGACAGAGAATCAGAACAGTCCAGCAGTGTATCAGAATGGAGGACCAGTCAGGTCACCCATCTTCCAGCCCAGGTACCCTGATCCGAGTGTGTCACAGGTGTGGAACAATCCATCTCAGTATCAATCCAACTGGAATCAGAATAACTATTCTAACATTCCTACCACACAATCAACAAACTTCCAGATCAGCGGACAAAATCCACCAAGTGAAACTTTACAAAATGGAGGACAATATTATCCAAATCTTGGTGGAAGATTTCCCAATATGTCACTCCCCCCTCCCCCACATTGTTTTGGACAACCACCCCCTGTGTTCAATCGACCAGTGCTGACTGATCAGAGGTACATTCAGAATCCCGCATTCCAACAAATTCCAGGACCCCAGTTTGATCCAAATGTTCCTCCTCCAAACTTTAATGTGGGATAACAAGGGAACTGTTTTTATCTGTACATACATGTATCTCATTTTCAACTGTTAGTTTTGTTATAGATATATTAGTGTATATTATGTATATCACATTCAGGTTACCGGGATAATGTGTATTTTATGTTTCTAGTAAGATCTTTACATTATTAAAGAATCATACATCAATTTTATCCTTTTTTCTTAGCTCACCTGAGCTGAAAGCTAAAGTGAGTTTTTCTGATCACTTGTTGTCTGTCATCCGCTGTCATTCTGTAAACTTTTCACATTTTCAACTTTTTCTCAAGAACCTCTTGGCTAATTTTTTGTGCTAATTTAGAGAGGGTAAGAGGCCAGGCTTGCCATGTATCATAGAAACTACTCATATGCTCTTTAATAAGTTAGTCTGCATAAAATAACTGCATGAAAATTAACTTTGCTGATTTATCATATATGCACACATACAAGGGTTGTCTTGTAAAAGCGTGGACAAGTAATCTGGAGTGAAAAGTAATCAGCATTTCATTCTAAAATTGTCAATACTCTTTAGTACATATAATATCACTATACAAAACAAATTTTAAATAGATATATGCATAAATAAACAAATGATGAGATTTTATGTATTGTATCATCAATGGATGATCAAGTCAGTGTCTAAAACAGCGTCGGGTTTCCTCTTTGCTAAACATAAAGTTAGATAAGTCCCACATACACATCTACTAAAAACTTCAGATAAGTGTGCCCATTATTTTTCGAGAAAAACGCTTTGTCCATGATTTTACCAGACAACCCTTATACTGTACATGTACGCATATCAAAATATCTCCACAAGAAATAGTTAGTTTAAGTCAGAACGTACTCCTGCAAAGAGACAAAACTCCCAAATTTCCGTTTTGTTTCTTTGCAGGAGTACATTCTGTCTTGGAGTACCTCTATTTCTTGTAGAGAGGGAGATTAAAGGAATTGCTGTTTCTTCAAATTATAGCAGTTTGTACATTTCAGTCACATCCCAATGTCAATATTATGATCAAAGGGACACGGTGCTGTTTGACAATATAAAACTATATGTACTCCTTATTCTTAATCATTACCACCATATGGAAACTGTCATCTGCATGGCATGGTGGTTAAAGTGTCTGCTCTAGAGTCACAAAGTAAGGAGCTGATCCTAACGGCATGGGTTCGAATTCCACCGTGGGATGTGGAGACCGTTTTTTTTCAGATGAGACCTTATGAACTGAGGTCACGTGTCACAGTAGGTGCTGGCTTCAGTGCCGAGTATAGGACAGAATTGCAGCTCTCCACCGGCAAGAGGTGGTGTCTCCATATGAGTGAAAAATTCTCTAGAGGGACGTTAAACAATATACATGTACAATCAATCAATCCTTTGGAAACTCAGTTCTGAACAGAACAGAATTTTTAGAAGAAAAAAAAAAGGCTTTGTAGGGAAAAAAAAATCTACAATTTCTTTCAAATTCATAATACCAGTAGGTACAACAATAAATCTCACATAATAAACAACTGAAATAAAATGTCTTCTTGCAAAAAATCAACCAATTTCATTCTAGCATCATAATAGAAACAACATTATCTCCCCTTACAAACAGTTGATTGACGTGTCTTTCTAGAAACTGAGGTAACGATTTAGAAGGAAGAGGTTCTTCTTTATTAAGGGAGGTAGGGTCATCTTCAATGGAGACAGTCTCTGGCACATGAGGTGTTTGTTCACTGGCTTGAGGTGCTTCGGCATTTTGATTTTGTGTTTCACATTCACTCACTGATGATGAATCTGTCTGATTTTTACCTGACATCTGAATCTTTTCTACAGACTGAAGTTCTGAGGTAGAGTTTCTTTCTGTCTTTGATGAGATCACTTTGTTTGGTACCTGAGGAAGGGAGACAACTTTGATTTCACTTTCCTTGCTGTCTTTTTCCTCTGAATACGACTCCCTGGTGGTGGTTGTTTGAGCAGTCATTGACAATTGTGCCATTTGTTCTTTTAGTTGTTTAAGTCTCCGTTTTTCTCTCTGTAACAGAAATACAAGAGTTATTTTGTTTTAAAATTCAGTGTATATGAAATGCTTATCATTATTATTATCATTAATAAAGTAATGTTCTGAACATAATATTGTAAATGTTGGTACACTGTACCTTAAAATAGAAGGCAATCTAATTTTATTCAACAAAACTGCTCCTGGTTCGAGAAATGTATCAAGAATTGATACGGTATCATGTACTAGCCATTTTTTATGCAAAACACAAGTTACCTAGATTTTCATAATATGTTTATAAAATGACAAGTTTCGTTCATGTCTTTACCTTGCTGTCCTTGCGTAGTTGTGCCTCTTTCCACAATGGACACCTATAAAGCTCATCAACATCAATCATTGCCTGGAATAAAATACAAAGATGTATCATAAATTAGAACTACAGTGGACCAGGGTAAGTGAAATTTTTAGCAAGATGCAAATTTAGAAATTTGTTCTTGAAAATAAGTATTGAATTTTAGCAAGAAGTAATTTTAGTGATTAAATGATTGCTAGAAAGTCAACAGTAATCTTCAATACAAAATGATTGTTAGTCATCATTTTCAGTTTAGCAAACTCACACCCCCCCCCCCCCTACCAAAAATTCCAAAATTGAATCTTTTCTGAAATGTCTATTTATTTTATGCATACGTTTTGTTATGTCTACAGGGACTGTAGAATAGACATAACATATTTAAAACAGGTAAAAATTTTAGAATTTTTTAACATTTATTTACCTTTAAAGCAAACTCTTAATTGACACATAATTTTGACCCACATATTGTGAAATGCAAGCAAATATAAATCTGCACAATGAAGAACAACACTTACAAGATTGAAATGTTTGTCAAAAGCTACTATGTATCCTTTACACATTCCCCTCAGATCAACTGCACTTCGAATCCACACCTGAACTAACAGCCTTTCTTGAACACACCTTTGCAGAAAATTGAGTGGTCCTCTTTTATACTCTTTAAATTAAAAAAAAATATAGTGAACATATATAATTTGTTTAATAGAAGAAAAAGGACTAGTTTCTAAGTAAATAATTACGTAATTATTCAGTATAACAAACTGAACTTGGTTGAATAATGAAGGGGCCTATAATATAGCAGCCATGGGGAATAACTCTTGCTTAAATCAACTCAATGGAAAACCACCTATTGCACAGCCATAATGGCAGAGTACCCCACTTATATAAAATATTATAATAAAATGTTCTAAATGCATATTTTAACACTTGATAGGATAATGTAGCTGCAGAACTGTAGCTCTCTGAAAAAAATTTAATTGATAGACCAGAGAGCTACAGTGCCACCCATTGAAAAAACTGTGTATTTATCGTGCACAAAAAGTTGTGCTTGGTTCTGGATTAATTCTTTAAAAATCCTTACCTCAATTGCAAAGAAAGTTTAGTAGATTTAAAAATTTTTTTTACTCCTATATCAAGTACTTATAGTTGACATATGCACAAAGCGCAATGGACCGAATTATCTTGCAAACCAAAATGGCAATGTAAATAAACAAAATTTTCGGGGATCTCAGTTTCTGGGACACGAGGGCTATTAACAACAATCATAATAAATGTTTTGTTGTGGAAACAGTGAAAGAAAAAGTTCGGAACACATGGTAAGTAATATTTTGAGATGACATTTTTAGCTCACCTGAGCCGAAGGCTCAAGTGAGCTTTTCTGATCAAAATTTGTCCGTTGTTTGTCGTCGTCGTAGTAAACTTTTCACATTTTCATCTTCTTCTCAAGATCCACTGGGCCAATTTCAATCAAACTTGCTACAGTGTATCCTTGGGTAAAGGGGATTCAAGTTTGTTCAAATGAAAGGCCACGCCCTTTTCCAAGGGGAGATAATTATGAATTAGAGAAAAATTAATGGCATTTTTAAAAATCTTCTTCTCAAGAACCACTGGGCCAGGAAAGATGAAAATCATGTGGAATCATCCTCAGGTAGTGTAAATTCAAGTTTGTTCAAATCATGACCCCCGGGGTAGGGTGGGGCCAAAATGGCCAATCAAAATTTGCATAGGAAGTATATAGGAAAAATCTTTAAAAATATTCTTCTTAAGAACCACTGGGCCAGGAAAGATGAAACTCCTGTGGAATCACCCTCAGGTAGTTCAAATCATGACCCTCGGGAGTAGGGTGGGGCCAAAATGGCCGATCAAAGTTTACATAGGAATATATAGGAAAAGTCTTCAAAAATCTTCTCAAGAACCACTGGGTCAGGAAAGATGAAACTCATGTGAAATCATCCTCAGGTAGATGTAGTGTAGATTAAAGTTTAAAACCATTGAGGCAAGAAAGATGAAACTCAGGTGAAATTATCCTCAGGTAGTGTAGATTCAAGTTTGTTCAAATCATGACCCCGAGGGGGTAGGGTGGGGCAAAAATGGTCATCAAAGTTTTACATGTGAATATATAGGAAAAATCTTTAAAAATCTTTTCCTTGAGAACCATTGAGACAGGAAAGATGAAACTCATGTGAAATCATCCTCATGTGCTTTTTCTTAGCTGATGTGCTTTGGTGAGTGATGTGGCCCCTGGGCCTCTTGTTAAAATCATGGAGAAATAAATCGAGAAACAGCATATTTTTTTGTGCATTATGAATATACAGTTTTTTTAATGATGGCATTGTAGCTCTCAGGTCCATCAATATATTTTTTCAGAGAGATTCAGTTTTGCAGCTAAGGATAGTGTAGTCCAAGATTCCGCTGAACTCTAGTCACAACTTCTTTATGACTTGTTCTCCCCGCACAGGTCATGATAAAAAAGCAGGGGTTAGAGTCAGAGGAATCTCAGAATAAGTAGAATGAAGTTAAAATATAAAACATTTAAAATATCTTGATAATTACAATACAAACCTTCCATTCTAGTGAGGACATTTCTTCTATTCCTTGGAAGTTTTCTTTCACTGTCACCCTTTTCATTTTTCTCCTTAGGTACACCTGTACCTTTATGAGTAGCATGTAACTTTTCTGTGGTACTGTGTGTTTCTGAGCTTGTCTCTGTCTTCTGGATTTCCCTTCAGTAAATGACACATATTCGGCAATGTTATTTAACGGCACTGTGTTTGGGCATGGCAATACGACTCGACTACTGTGAAGAGCCCTTAAAGGATCGAAAGAGGGCGATGACAAGTTCAGGGTATCGTCTTCTACATTCTCTCTATTCGAATCTGCCTCCTTCATGGGCGCAGCCATCTTGAAAAGTAAGTGCCCGAATCTATATTCAGTTTCGTAAAAATATTATGAGCTAAATATGTAAAAAATGAGCTTTCTGTTGAATTTTATTATTGTCATCAAGGAAAGTATAAAAAATGCAATTTCAAAAGATTTTTTGTGTTAAAGTCCAACATAAGTGAAATACGAAACTAACAAAATAAACCCGTTGCCACAGTCAACACAAGTACTCCAAAAAAGATGCCTCCAAAGAAAAAGGGAAAGGGTAAAGGTAAAAAGGGAAAGAAAGGAGGAAAAGGAGATAAAGAAGATGGAGCAACTGATACAGCAAAAGTTGGTACCCCAGAACCCTCTGAAAAAGAAGTACTCTTGCAACAAGAGTGAGTAGCTACTCTTCCTCCCGAATTTTCTCTAGTTGTTTATTCTACAACTTGGTCAACTAACAAAAGCCAGGATTGATTTAACGGTCTTACAGGTATACGGATTCTTTTTTGTAGATTAGAAAAGGTGACTGCTGAGTTGCAGAATGCAAAGAAAAGAGTTGAAGACTTGTATCCTCGAATTAACGCTTATTTTTTTAAAAAATGAATCCCTGGTCATAATTTGAATTCATACTTTTATTACATTGATTAAATTTGCAGAACGTTTTTCACAAATATTATTCAAATGTATAAACTTTGTAGTTAGTAAGTTATTCCTTAACTCAATATTAGACGAAAGGAAAATGAATGGTTGCAACAAGAAGGGAGCAGGGTCCGAGTTGAAAGTGTATGTATAAAGAGTTTTTATAATCATTGTCATGAGTTGAGAGTGTTCCTATAATCATTATCATTAGTTCAGTAGGTTAGTTTCATCTAGTTATATACCTGACTTTATACTCTTTAATTCAAATTTAACGTACTATACAAGACTTTATTTTAAATTAATTGACTATTAAAATTGTTGATGTTGCCATCTCTAATTTAATACATGTTGTTCATTTATGACAGAAAAATGATTTTTTGTATTTATATCTCTCCACAGCATGAATACATGAGTTACATGGAGAAGAAGACCACAAAACGTAAGACGACCATTATTACACTGAGTGATCACAACAAGGAGGAAATCCGCAACATAGAGTTAGAGAAACAGAACATGGAGGAGGAATTCAACCAAAGGAAACAAGGTCAGTACAGGAACTAGAGTGGGATGAGCAGAATATCTCTAAAGGATGTAGATTAAAGCATCTGTAGATTCATAACCAATTTATGGGAAATTTGAAAAAAAAAAACATACATGTTCCAAATAAATGTAATATGATTTAATATGGGATAGTACTTGTCATCTTATGCTTATGTTTATAGATCATGAATAGAAAAATTAATGCATTACATTTGAGCAGAATTTGTTAAGATTTCATGTATACCCCGGTATATACAAATCTAACATACTAATGTAGTGAGCTGTTTAAGTACAGCATGTTCGGACAATTTTTTAAAATTTAATGTCTGTACTGGAAAAAAAGAGTATTCATATTTTACATATATATTGAAAATATATACATTTATTTGCAGCACTTGAAAACATGTTATTTGCAAAGCAAAATATTCTGAAGAAAACAGTAGAAGAGTTATCAGAGCTTCAGGAGTACAAGGTATTCTTTTACTTGCAAGACAATTATTTACATTTATCCACAAGTTGGAAATCCACTTTTACTATTGTAACAGTGAAAATTAGAAAGTTGTGTTTTTCTTTGACAAAAATTGAAATTATATTCATTGGTATCTAGACTGAAATAAATTACTCTTTATCAGGATCTACAAACTGACCAGCTAGATAAAATAAAGGAGCTGGAAAAAGAAGTGATGGTCATGAGATCCAAACATTCAGAGACCATCCAGCAACTCAAATCCACCTTCCTCGCAGAAAAAAGGGAGTACCAACAAGACTCCGAAAACAGGATAACAGCGCTGGAAAAATTAGCAAACAAGGTAGGTGTAAATAAAGCTGAAAGTACGTGTACATTGTTAGAGAATTTTTTTTAGCTCACCTCAACGAAGTTGGGGGAGCTTATGTAATACCCTCGGCGTCGGCGTCCTCGTCGGCATCCCGGGTTAAGGTTAAGTTTTTTGGAGCAGTTTTCTTTTTAAGTACTTCTATGTCCTATATTGATTAGACATGCGTGGAAGATGTTTCTAGTGTGTTTCATTGTACCAGTCAAAGTTTCAGATGCTGCAATTTCAGCAAAGGAATAACCAGGTTAATGTTTTTGGAGCAGGTTAACATTTTTGGTGCAGTTTTTGGTGTAGGACTCATTTCCGAGTAACTATAAGCCCTATGTTGACCAAACTTGCATGGATGGTACATTTTAGGATGCACACTACCAGGCTTGCTTCGGATGCTGAATCTTACCTACATTTTCCGCATGAGTGAACAGGTTTATGTTTTTGGTGCAGGTTTCATTTCCAAGTAACTATGAGCAATATAGTGACCAAACTTGCATGGATGATAAATCTAAGGATGCATACTACCAGACTTGCTTCGGATGCTGAATCTGACCTACATTTTCTGGTTGAGTGAACAGGTTAAAGTTTTGGGTGCAGGTTTCATTTCCAAGTTACTATGAGCCCTATAATGACCAAACTTGCATGGATGGTACATCTTAGGATGCATAGTACAGTACCAGACTTGCTTCGGATGCTGAATCTTACCTACATTTTCCGGTTGAGTGAACAGGTAAAAGTTTTTGGTGCAGGTTTCATTTCCAAGTTACTATGAGCCCTATAATGACCAAACTTGCATGGATGGTACATCTTAGGATGCACACTAATGGACTTGCTTCAGATGCTGAATCTTACATACATTTTCCAGATAATGGACACCTCGTAAAAGTTATGGATGCAGGTCTATTACCAAGAAACTATAAGGCTTATATAAGCCAAACTTGCACAAATGATGCATCAAGGGATGAAAACTCTCAAACTTGCTTCAGATGCTGGATTTTAATTACGTTTTCATGATGGAGAACTAGTTTGAAGTTTTTATATAGGTCTATTCCAAAGTATAAAATCAGAATTGCATAAATTTTGCATTTTTGGATGTACACTTTTTGTTGGTTAATTGTGTGACTTTGCCTTACTTAAAGACAACATTCGTTGAGGTGAGCTCTGTAATCTCTGATTACCTATGTTTTTAAATATATGACACCTAACAGGAATATGAATATTCCAAGGTTTTGCATATAATTTTTCCTAATAAATACTTAATATTATATGTAATTAACAGGAAGCTAGTCAATGCCTGTCGGATCACACCAACAGAATAAAACAGGAAAACAGACAATTACGTAAGGAGTTACAAGAACTGATACACATGACTCGAGTCTACCAGGCACATCAGCGGGACCTCGAAGAACAGAGGAAACAGCTGCTGAGAGAACAACAGTATGCTAATGACCTCAAAAAGCTCAGGAGTACAAGACAACACAAGGTGCTTAAAGCATTTGACATGTTGGACAGTGGTGAGGGGGATGTCCCCCAAGAAGCAGGAAGATGAATCAACCTCTGAATAACTGTGTTGTAATTTTTACACTGAAAGTCATGACAACTTATACTGTTGTTGCATGTGTTTTATCATGCTTGAAGAAGTGTGAAGTCAAACCTTTGACAATTTGTTTGAACAGATTGATCCTCATTTATGTGTTTACATGTACCTGTATAAGACCAATTTTAAATCTTATATGATGCATTTGTAATGAAAAATGTCATTTTTACTTCACTGAAGCTGACTGTACTTGGCTACAGCCAAATCATATATCAAGTTTTTGTTGATAAAAAATTTTCTTTTAAGATTTGCTTGTTCTTTGGGTTGTTCAGAATCTGGGTATAACTATTTATTTGAAGTCATACTTTATGCTTTAAGTTGAGTGTTGGTAGAGGTTAGTACACTGAAGTAAATTCAAAGGTCATATAGATGACATGTAGCATTTTTTGTATGGGAACACTTCAACATCATAGTGTCTAAAATGACAAATAAAATACAGATGCCCAAAATACAATATGACTCCAAGGTCAGGGATAAATTTGGGTCATGACATGTTTTCCTCTGATGACACACTCACATGCCAACTACCATAAACATACGTTGAAAGTATACCATTCATACTTTATGCCCAAAACTAAGTCCTCTACCCAATAAAGTGTAAAATACGATCCAGCCATGATTTGAGTATGTAAAATTTATCTCATTAATTGTTCATAATCAATGAAAGCAATATTTCCATTAATACAAAATCATCTTCCACAGTTTAAAGGGAGACAAAGACATTTTGTGATTGAATAACTTAATTGGTTTCATTCCACTAGCCAGGCTTATTCTTGTTACTTTAAAATGTGGATACTTCATTTCAACTATTCAACTGGTCAACATTTGACCTTGACCTTTTTCCTTGGGCTTGACTTCAAAAAAAGTTATTTTATTAAAATAATATGCTGATATTCAACTTCATCAACATTGATGACCTTAACCTTTCCTTTGACATAACTATTCTCAATTTTATTTGGCTAAGAAACAAATGTAAATTATACACCATACATTATTTGATGACATTCATAAACTTTGTCCATTTTCTTCCCTTTGACTTTCTAAATGACTTTTGATTCAACTATTTATTGTATATTTACACACTTTTAAAGAAACTATTTAAGGTATTTCCATCAGACTTCGTACACTTATTATTAAACTTTATACGCTTAACTATCAAATTTATATGCATTATTAAAATACAAATTGCATTCATGTCCTATATTAGACATATTTCTAGTTTATAAAGGAAAACAGAAAAATACTTGTAAAAATTTTATTTCCTAACAGTTAAATATGGTTAAGAAAAAGGTACCAAGAACATAAATTAATAACACTATATAAACAAATAGTTATGTACAATTTATAAATTATCAAAATACAAGTAACAAACATTACTCCACAGATCTCAATATAAAACATTACTGAGGTTACAAAAATGTCAATAAATCCCTCTTGAAGCTGCAATCAATGCTAGACAACACAAAACACAATCGAAGCATCAACAACTCTAAACATGGAATGATGCGTATATGAAATAGTTTAGTGGTACAATGTAATCCACAGAAAAAAATCAGGCAGTAAATTTAAATACATCTTTAAATCTAATGGGGACAAGGAAATGCTTGGAATTTTTTAACAAACCATTACCAGGTATAAATTTAAGCATGAATAAAAATATCTTAGCATTAAATAATTTAAGCTGTATCAAAGTACAACATGATACACTTGTATATTGACCTCTGAAATAGATAATTCAAATTGAAGACTCATGATTCTATTTAAATTTTACATTTAATGTGTACAGTTACATGCTTCAATATTTACAAAGTTGGCCAAAAGCATTTCAGATTAACAAGAGAAAATGCATCAAAGATAAACAACAGAGAGACATATTCTAAGTTTAAATTGCATCTTAGTCAGAAATACTTGAAAATTCAATACTTTAAAATTGATAACAGACTAAAAAGAGTTGTTGATATTGCATCTCAGCAAGTAATACTTAGAAATTAAATACCTGTACTCTCATACTGATATCCAGGGATGGGGTAATTGAATAAAGTAATTGTAATTGAGTGTAATTAATTACATTTTTCAAAGTAATTGTAAGTAATTTGTATTTGAGCTAGTCTTCAATTACAAGTAATTGAATGTATTTAAATACATTTCGAAAAAGATCATGTATTTTCAATTACTTTTCAATTACATTTCAATTACTTTTTTTCAAAATGAAAGTTTATATTTAAAACGTTGTCTTATACTGATACATAGTTTTATACTGATGGGTTTATATTACTTATTCCCATGTTTTATAAATCTCAGTTTTCCCTATTCCCACTTGCAAATAATAATGATTGTTTAGATAGTTAATTTGTTTTACAGCAATTAGACTAACTACATCCCCTTTTCATTTTAAGATAGAAAATAATGAATGGAATTGTGATAGATATTATTTATTTCCTTCAAAAATATGGATTTGAGAAAGTCACAAAAAACACCTTGCCATACACCATACTGGTGTAGCATGGGCTTGTGTTTGTACAATAATTAATAGTCTCATAATGTTTAATTTGTTTATACAGTGTGTCACACTCATTATAATGTAAAGGTCTAATTTTACAAGAAACAAGAGTGAACCCCTATCATACCCAAGAACAAAAACACTTTTTAATAATCGCTATATCTTATTTAAAAAAAATCTTTATTTTTTTTTTATAACTGTAATTGAAATGTATTTAATTACATTTGTCAAAGTAAATGATAGTAATTAATTACATTTGAAAAAATCAATGTAATTGTAATTGCAAGTAATTGACAAAATTATCAATGTATTTGAAAGTAATTAATTACATTTCAAAGTAATTGACCCCAAGCCTGCTGATATCAATAATCTTCCTGCGCTATTAATTTTTTCAAAGAAACTTCATCAAAATGACCCTTGTTTTTGTTATTAATTAAATCCATAATACTCATACATACGTATATACACGTACATGTATATTCTGCAAAAACAAAAGGAAAACATAATCTGCACATTCCTGTTTTTTTTAAATATCATTAGGACAAAAGATTTTTAAATAACAGAAAAAAAACACACATGCAAGATTGGTCAATATTCATCAATTAAATCTCAAGTTTTAAAACTGTTGTTAATTTACACAAATTTACTATCAAGGAATTCCCCTTAACCCTGGAAAACTGATATCTACGATCTATAAATAGAAAATCCTATGTAGTAAATATCTCTGGATAAACATGGAAAAATACATAAATCCTTTTAAACACAAATATTTAGCACTATTACAATGTCCATTTCAAAAAATCTTTTCAACAAAAGCTTGAAAAAAATCTACTCCATGAACTAATTATTTATGCTATATCCATAAAACACAAAATTTAAATGCAAATATACACATACAAAATACAGAATATAAATCCATTCAATAATTTGAACATTATTGATCAGTATTGCAACTATAGAATTAGATAACATGATATGAGTTTACATTTATCACAGATTGTGGGACTTCCATATATTTGAGCCATTTAGAATATTTTAACACTATCATTAACAACCAATTTATATGCATTGAGATAAGAATGACTAAAAGGAATCTACTAAGTTCATCCACGTGGAAAATCCACAGTCATTAAAACTGAATGTCATCGTCATCATCGTAAGATTCATTGGCCCTCTGGCTATGCCTGCTGTTTGGTCGTTCGAGGACTCCAGAAGTTCTCTGAAAGAAAAAGGAATTGTGTAAAACTTTTTGAGTTTAAAACAAAGGAGTATATATGAGTTTTGGCCCCCTAAAAATCAACATTTTAGAATGACATTCAGATATGTTTAATTGCTATTTATTTTGAAGAAGAGATTATATTAGAAATATTTCTAATATATTTTTCACATTCATATGCACTCTCTAGCTGTAAATGACATGAGAAATAATGCTATTTTTGCTATCTAACAAAAGAGCCGAAAATTTGCCTTTTTCTTAATGTTTTTTTCTTATGGGAAACATAGAGCGTAGTGTAGAACATACATAATTTTTATGTCATTAATCAGTATTGGATAGATACATCTTTGGTAAAAATATAAAGCTTGTTCTAGGCTGCGCTCATATTTTCTGGATTGAAATATATTTTATACAAAATTTGTTAAAATGGCGGGAAAACGTGATTTTTATGAGGTCATATTTCTAAAATAACGGCATTTTGATCAAAATAAAAATGACCAATAAAGGTCGCAGATATAGCTGTACAAATTAAAGCTATATATAAGGTAAAATTAAGATATTCATTTCAAGGGGCCAATTGAGACACTTACCATATATCGCTCTTTATAAATTTCGGAAAAAAAGGAAGAATGATGAGACTTATATTTTGAATCATATTTTAATCATAAATACTTATATAAGTCTGTTGCAGGTTCTTTGTTCATTAAATACAAGTTCATACAGTTCATGAAATAAAACCTTTTTTATGATAAAACAAAAAACAGTAAGAGTGTTTATATATGTAATCTAGCATTTAAATTATTTCTCTGCATTTCAATTGATTCTTCAAACCAATCTGTAAGATCCTTTATGAAGTTTAACACAATAACTTACCCTGGACCCATGGCTTGTTCTGGAGTGACTAGACATTGCTGAAAAATGGAATGGTAAAACATGTATTTATGTGCGCTACTTGTAACTTAAAGATTTTTTTTTGATAGCTAAGATTACTAGCAATGTCAACGTTGTATTAATGGAAAAAAATGTGTGATAAACTTTTTGCATTATTAGCTTTAGGTAAACATGAATTTCAGGGTTTGTCAAGTGGGAGGAAGCCAATGAGAATATTTATCTGTTTTGTGAATACCGTTTTCTCTAGCATAGGACCCTATTTATTTAAAGATTGAATCTGAGTCATAATGGAGACAATGCATAAATCACTATCAAATACTGTCCCTCAAAGCAGTATGTCAAAAGAAGGAGCTAGAATGTGATTATCAGTAACCTATTCTAGCATATGTATACCAGAGAAGAGTTAAGAATAAGCTATTCTCTATCCAACCCAAGCACCTGAGTGTAGTATACCTAAGGAGGGTCTAGAATAAGCTAATCTCTATCCCACCTGAGCACTCGAGTGTAGTATACCTCGGGTGGGTCTAGAATAAGCTAATATCTATCCTATCCAATCACCTGAGTGCAGTATACAGCAAAACTCAGTTATAACGAAGTCACAGGGACATATGAAATTACTTTGCTATACCCATAATTCTTTATAACCATATAAGAAATTCATTAAATTTATGTAGCTGGGGATCCAAGATGACTTCACTATATCCGTAAATTCACAATATCCGTGTTTGTTCTAAACAAGTTTTGCTGTACCTGGGGAAGTTTAGAGTAAGCTAATCGCTATCCCACCTGAGCACTCAAGTGTAGTATGCCTCGGGAGGGTCTAGACTAAGCTAATATCTATCTTATCCAATCACCTGAGTGCAGTATACCTGAGGAGGTTTAGAATAGGCTAATCTTTATGCCAACTGAACCCCTGATTTCAGTTTACCTGAGGAGGGTCTAGAATAAGCTAATCTCTATACCACCTGAGCCCCTAATTTCAGTTTACCTGAGGAGGGTCTATAATAAGCTTATCTCTATCCACCTGAGCCCCTGATTACAATTTACCTGAGGAGGGTCTATAATAAGCTTATCTCTATCCACCTGAGCCCCTGATTTCAGTTTACCTGAGGAGGGTCTATAATAAGCTTATCTCTATCCACCTGAGCCCCTGATTTCAGTTTACCTGAGGAGGGTCTATAATAAGCTAATCTTTATCCCACCTGAGCCCCTGATTTCAGTTTACCTGAGGAGGGTCTATAATAAGCTTATCTCTATCCACCTGAGCCCCTGATTTCAGTTTACCTGAGGAGGGTCTATAATAAGCTAATCTTTATCCCACCTGAGCCCCTCATTTCAGTTTACCTGAGGAGGGTCTATAATAAGCTTATCTCTATCCACCTGAGCCCCTCATTTCAGTTTACCTGAGGAGGGTCTATAATAAGCTTATCTCTATCCAACTGAACCCCTGATTTCAGTTTACCTGAGGAGAGTCTAGAATAAGCTGATCTCTATACCACCTGAATGTAGTATACACAGGTGGGTCTAGAATATACTAATCTTTATACCATCTGAGCCCCTGATTTCAGTTTACCTGAGGAGGGTCTAGATCTCCTACCACTGGACATCATGTTCCTCACTGATGCACTGTCATCATCATCCCTAGAAAAAGAATAAGAACTTAATATCATCTGTTCAAGACTTAGCTTAGTTTCTTTTGATCTTGTCAATTATTAAGGAATTGTAAACAATATAAGTATAAAACTTAATAAGAATATTACCGATATTGCTTTTAATTACATGTATTTTAAAGTTGGAATATCTTTATGTCATATATATTTATCATAAACAGTAACAATCTAAGTTAAACACCTTTTTTATTGCAACATAGTAATACCAGTAATTAACAAAATAGGGTTCAACTTTAATAGTATACATGTACATGTATTTGAAATACTATCATTTCCAGGCATTACCTGTTTGTTTTAAAATGATTACCTGTATGTCTTTAGCTTTGATCTCCTGTTGTAATGACCTTTGACACTGGACTGTATCAGGTCCACAGCGTTACTGTAGTCTTCGCTGTCATCATCGTCATAATCATCATAATCTCTTATGAACCTCATCCGAGATTTACGTGTATTGTGTCCTCTTAGTGCTGACCCAATCAGATCTGCTGCCTAAAAATTACACCAAAATACATGTACCAGTACCTTAGTAAAAGCAAAGATTCCATAGTGAATACTCCCCATATCATTCAAAGGAAAGAGAGAGAGAGAGAATGTTCAAATAGTACAAGAGAATAGACCTTTACCATTTTCCAGTTTAAGTTTAGAATCTAAAGATCTACTTTCTCCACAATGGAGATTTACAATTGCTATATTTTTTTCCAATAATAACATATTTTTCCACATACCTCATCCAGTTCCTCTTCATGCTTTCTATATTTGTGATTTGTCCATCTGTTCTGGATGGTCTTAGCTGCATGATTACGTCGGAAATTTTCAACCTTATCCTGAAAAAAAAGATGAAATATTTTCAAAAAACATCAATAAATTTAAAATTTAGTGCAAATGGTGATCTGGACTACCGCTTGAACAGGTCGGAGAGAATACTCGAAATCGGGTATCGTTGAATCCGCGAAATCGGGTATTCCGTGCAACTTTCCATAAAAACTAAAGAATAAAGCAACAGTGCATTATGCCAGTTACTGTTACTTGTACATCAGTATCTTGTGGATTTATTTTCATTAAACTAATTCATACGGTTGTCAAATAAGTTTAAAATCACACGACAAACACTGCTGGGGTAACAAAGAGGACACAATGGCGTTATTATTTTTCAATATAATTTCTAAAATCAAATAACTACACTTTGTTTGTCTTTATTTCCCATTAAAGTATTACATATACTTAATTTTCTAATTTGTGCACTATTCAGAAAATGTGAAACCTTAAAGAAATTAAACGACTAACGCCGTGTTATGTATTTTTACTGAAAAATGTATGGCGTCCCTTTCAAGTGAAATATAAATTATTCCTAACTGTTAGAGAGTACAGTATAAGCGAGTCATAATTGTTTTTTCTCTGCCATAATAGAATATCAACATTATTATAAAGAAGAAAATAAAATAAGATTAAATAAATACCCATGGGAGAACAGGTTGAAAATAGCTAATTATAATTGAAGGTGAGTATCATTTTTATGTCAATTTAGCATGGAAATTTTTACTCAAGGACACCGTAAATTTCTTGGTTGCATTTTAATTGATACAAGATATGCTATTTTACCTTTATTTTATGCATTTGTGTGAAAATTGAGAGCGAGAAGTCATATGAACAGGATTTTCGAGGTTTTTTTTGGGAGGGGGGTATAAATAAAAGTCAAATGTGTACATCTTTTCATGAGCTTATGATACATTGAATCTCAATATAGATCGAGGTACAGTCATATTGAAATATGAATTACATAGTCAAGTTTTCACATTTCTTATAGTCTTTACGTTTATGAACATGTTAATGAGCAAACTGAAATAATGAAGTGTTTAATTGCCTTGGAAATTCTTGTCTTACTTTTTGGGAATATAATTTCTATCGGACATTAAAATTTCATAAAAATTGTAGCCACTTCCTTTCTTTATTGATAGACAGGGTAAATTTTACCTCTTTACCTTCTATATTTTTTTTATATCGCTATCTTATACCTCATTATAATATGCTTATACAACACACTATCTGATTGGTTCTAGACAATATGTCACAGTTTTCTTATAGTTATTTTATCTATGATACTTATTACTCATGGCAATAACTTTTCCTCATACTCATCTATATTGAAAAATTGTGTTAAAAAAATAAACATGAATTCTAGTTACTTGTAGTCTCATATTGTGTTAGAAAATAACAGGTTGCTTTTTGTTTATCTACATGTATATGATTTTTATTTGATGAATAAATCTTCCCTACAATTAAAAATATATAACCGAGTTTAACCGACCTTCACATTCAAAGAGAGGTCTCTTGGACACATGTACAACACAGTCTAGGTTGTTTTGTCAGAGGTGGTCAAGAAACCTTTAGCCCCCCCCCCCTTTGAAGTCGCTAAGAAATGGTAAAATATTGATGACTTAAGGAAATCAAACGATCAACAGTTATGTTCTCTCACAAGCTATATTCCTGAAACTGTCTCTGTCTCTGCTAAAATGTTGGAAGACATATTCTGCAAATATGTATGAATGATAAAAAAAAAGAAAAAAAAAAAAAGATTTTCAAAAAAAACAAGAGGCCCATGGGCCACATCGCTCACCTGAGCACTAAGGGTAGGAAAAAGTAGAAAATGGCTTTTTATTGTAAAGTTTAAATCCAAAAGTAGTCCCATGACCAATCATGGATTTGCTATTTTTTAGAAAATGATTTTTAAAGAATTTTCCTATATTAATCTTTAAAAACTTTGGTTGGCCATTTTGGCCCCGCCCTACCCCTGGGGGTCATGATTTGAACAAATTTGAATCTACACTACTTGAGCATGCTTCTATATAAATATGATGAATTATGGCTTTGTCATTCTTGAGAAGAAGATGTTTAAAGAATTTTCCTATATATTTCTATGTAAAACTTTGCTTTTAATTGGGGGGTCATGATTTGATTGAATATAACTACCTGAGCATGCTTCCATATAAATATGATGAATTATGGCTTTGTCATTCTTGAGAAGAAGATTTTTAAAGAATTTTCCTATATATTTCTATGTAAAATTTTGGTCGGCCATTTTGGCCCCGCCCTACCCCCGGGGGTCATGATTTGAACAAATTTGAATCTACATTACCTGAGCATGCTTCCATATAAATATGATGAATTATGGCTTTGTCATTCTTGAAAGAAGATTTTTATAGAATTTTCCTATATATTTCTATGTAAAACTTAGGTCGGCCATTTTGGCCCCGCCCTACCTAATGATTTGAACAAACTTGAATCTACACTACCTGAGGATGTTTCCCCATAAGTTTCATCTTTCCTGGCACAGTGGTTCTTGAGAAGAAGATTTTTAAAATATGCCACAAAATTTTCATTAATTCCCAATTATCTCCCTTGAATCAGGGCATGGCCCTTCATTTAAACAAACTTAATCTCTTCACCCAAGGATATTTGTGGCAAGTTTGGTTGAAATTGGCCCAGCGGTTCTTGAGAAGAAGTCGAAAATGTGAAAAGTTTACAGACAGACGGACAGATCTGCTGCGGACACCGGGCAAAATGTGATCAGAAAAGCTCACTTGAGCTTTCAGCTCAGGTGAGCTAAAAAGAAAAAGGGTTTTTTAGCCGAAATGTTAGACATTTTTATCATTACATTATTTATACATTCATAAATAAAATTGATTTTATGCACAAGATGAATGTGAAAGTAATTAATGAAGCATAATTAGATACGATAGACAATCCCTTGTTTATACATGGCATCATATCTTGTGTGTGAAATGTGTCTCCGTATAATTTGATTTATTTACAAATTGTTCATGTTTGTCGTGTTGATGTGGAATTATTATAAATTCCCGAATTCTGATACTTTACAATTCTGTTGTGTTGGGAATGAACATTAGGAAGATGCATATACTTTCAACATTGTGAAAAATATAAAGCAAATTGAACGCCTTTTTGTGTGCAGATCATGAAATGTACTGAGCTCCACGGGTATTTGTTGTCCTCAGCGCATTAATCTTGACGCCCAAATTCTTACTTGGCTAGTGATACCTTTAGAAAACATGTGTATCTAGATGAAAGTTAACTCGGCAACATGCGCCATCCCATTGTTTAAGTTTTATTAGGTGATTACACCTCCTATACCCGATTTCGCGGATTCAGCGATACCATAATATCGAGTATTATACGCGATTTCACGGATAATACCCGATTTCGAGTATTCTCTCCGACCTGTTGAATATTAGATTATGCTACACCAGTATTTTACATCACAATTTATAAATAATTAAAAAATAACATGCTCTAAACAAAATGTACAAATAAAGTATATCTTGGAATTGAAATTCATACAATCTATCATCAAAATTCACACACTGTATAAATAAGCAAAGGAATGTTTTTGTTTTTTTGTTTTTATGGCATAAAAACAAAAACACAAAAGGCTAAAGCAAAGCTCAGTTAATCACACACAAAATTTATCTAGCAGCATTTTCAGTCAGTAAAGTCATTGCATGTGTTTAGCTACCATCTTCTGCAGGGACACATTTCAACTTACAGTTGAACCTGAATATGACCTTGACATAGTATACCAGTTTAGCATATCAAATGCATAACACCAACAGAAAGCTCTAAACTTCACAAACTTTAGGACATACAAAAAAACATTTACGTAATTCAGTAAATTTAGCACAAGATGGTTTACTCACACAATCAACAGGTTTATCACAGAAAGCCAGACCTCAGATGAGATGTCACAAAGCTCATTTTTAATGTGTAAATTGCCATAAAGCTTTCATTATCCAAGCAGCATCAATTTACACCCCCGACCTACATTGAATTCTTGATCCACCTCTCTCTTTTTCTCTGCATTAGTTCTGTGATTTTTCCATTGTTTCTGAATAATTCTGGCAGCATGTTTTCTTTTCATTTGTTCTACTTTACTTTCTAGCTCTTTTTGCTAATGAAAATATCACAATTATCTACTGAATGACTGAAATATAAAGTACAACATCCACGTTTCACTCTCTCTCTCTTTTTTAAATCAACACACATCCTATTCATCACAAATTCTTAAGATACTCTGCATGCACATGTACATGATATTTGAATTTGCTTGAATTGCAAATCTAAACAAGTGCTGACATATTTAGTTTATCTACTTCCTGTGAAAGCAATTAAAATTATTAAATGAAATCTAAAATTCATTTCTGAATACAAATTATTGACTAAATATGAACAAAATTAAGTGAATGTTAGTAAGGGTCATAAGTGATAAATAAAGTTGTCAGGTGATACATGTGATATTAATATACAGAGGAGGAGGGGAAATCCACACCAAGCAAAACATGACCTACATTTCTGTCCTCCATATCTCTATGATGTGTCCGCCATCCTCGCTGAATTCTACGAGCCGCTACCGTTTCTCGGTGCTTATTGGCTAATTCATTTAACTCCTGATGAGATTTATTAATTATCATAAATAAAATTATCATGCATTGGCATTTTCAAGGACAATTAATAACATGAAAAAATAAAATAAATGTAATGATTGAAATTTTAAGTTGCCATGCAAGCAAATTAAATGTGAAAATGAATGTAAGAATAAAACAATAAAAAAGTTGCTAAAGCTGAGAGATAATGAGTACATGTATACCCCAAAAATATAATCATGTGTAATTTCAAGTCCTGTGCAGATGTTTTGTCTTTATAATACAAGAGACATTTTTAATACATATACAGTATAAAAGTCTTTGGGATTTGGGAATCTAAATTGGGATAACCATTATTTGTTATTTCTGAAAAATAAGTTTTTAAACATATACTCATGAATATATAAGAAATCCTCAATATGCATGTTTTTCTTTTGAATGGATTTTCAAACTGAAGTTTTAAATAATAAATTGAACTTAATTAATTTGCTATCATCACACTGTAAACTAGCTACATAAATTACAATTCAATAATCCCCCAGTCCAAAAAAACCTTTGCTATGTCCATGAATTTGCTATGTTCATGTTCATTACAAAACATGTTTGACTGTTCCGTCAGTCTACTGACAAATAAATATACATTGCTAGTCTAATTTTCTAATCTACACACGGAAAGTGAGACACAGGTACCTTGTTATTTGAAAAAAAGAGACCCATATGGAATAATACTTCAGAGACACTGTTATATAACATGTATATAGATATGATATGATATTGGTTACATCTATAACAGTACTACAGATGTTTACCTCTTGCTCTCTCTTTTCTTTCCTGTGTGTCTTCCATTCTTTCTGTAGTTTCTTGGCAGCTCGATTCTTCATAAAGCTTTCTAATTTCTCCTCATCTTCTTGTTCCTATCAAATGAAATTAATTCATATCCTTTAAAATTACTGCTAAACTAGAACTGTCCAAACGGGACAAAATACCCCCTGCTGGGTTTTTCAGAAGTAAGTTTTTCCATAATATAGATATGTATCAGACATGAATTTTTTTTCTTCCAGTGACCTTGAACTTCCCCAAATGACCTTGTATCACACATGAATCTAAATGAAATTTTTCTGCCAGTGACCTTGAACTTCCCCAAATGACCTTGGGTCAAGGTCATGACACACCCTAACGTCATGGGCAATCTTTGTGTGAAATGAGAACCTACCAAATTTATCCATAAGAAAGACTTTTTCAATTGTGTAATAAGACTTCGTTTGCGGGGGGTATAAAAACAATTATTCAAGTCTTCATTACTGACAGTAACATTTTTAAAATAAAAATAATGCTTTGTAGGCTAACTGATTTGAATAATATTGTATATACATGTATATATTTTTTTCAAGTAAGTGACTTTTGATATAGGAGCAGTGTCGTCTATATTGTTTTTCAGGATACATGATGTGCCTTTCTTCGTGCCTGATTCTCAGTACCAGAGACTGTACTTACTCTTCTCCGCCTCCGTCCCTCTGATGAGGTGCTGTCTACCGAATATTTCCTTCCACTGGGAGGTCGACTGTTTCTGTAACACATTCATATGTAAAAGTGAGAGACTGAGACTGTATGTGTTGAAAAATGTCCAGTTTCTACAGACCTTTCATTTTATCCAGGCATAATATGGAATGTTTATGAATTGGATATAATCAAGCATTACTTCCAAATTTTTAAGATTTTAACAAGATTTTAAATATACCTTATTTTTAGACACCAATTTTACCAAACATTATTTATCTTATTATATGGAAAATAATAGATGGCTTAAATTGACAAAAAATGTTAGATTTTGATGCTAGCTGTTGACAAATTTACATTTACAAAACTGTAATCATCATCTTAATACCAGGCATATTCATTTATATATTTAAAGAATCTAAAAAAAATGCTATTATTAGTGTAATATTATTATCAGTTTTAATGTCAATGAAGAATAAAAATATTTTACAAATAAAATGTTAAGTCTTATAAAGAGTCAGTATTATTGATACCTGGGGGATTGCTGCCTGGGGGTGATGGCCCGGGGGGTGACTCCTCGTCTGGGCGTGGCCTTCCCTTGTCTGTCATTCAGGTAATCTAACTCAGCCTGGAGTTCCTTAATCAGTTTCCTACAGAGGCAAAATCGCACTGAATAAATTGGCTGAAAACAATCTGTCCTAAAATCATAACCATCAATTTACTGTTTACAAGTAAACAAGTAACATATTTAAAAATATTATCTTATTTGTGAAATTCAATTTACTGCTGAAACATGAGATTAAAATTTCTCCTTTATTTACTCATATTCCTCCATTTTATGTCTGTTTTCTGTTTTTTCATCTTTCAGTCTCTTGACTTGTTTTTTGTATTTCTCCACTTCCTCTAATAACTCTGTTTCCCGTTTGTCTAGCTGATCTAGTCGGTCCTGTACAGTCCCCTCAAGTTCTATCTTATTAGCTACAGCTGTAAAAATAGACAGAATACAATACACTGATTTTGAAGAATGAGTGATCAATTACTGCACATTTTATTAATCAAGGAAACTAATTTGAAAACGGTTTTATTTCATGCTCAGTAACACTCAGAAAGGTTATAACATACATGTAGACCAACTTATTGAAAACTGACAAAAAGTTCAGGAATGCCATATCTTTGTGATCTTTTAAAAGAAGTGTGCATTCTTGCTGAGTTATGAACATACAAGAAATTGAGATAGAATCTACCTGAACTAGGCCTGCGCTTCTTGTCTGTTCGACCATCATAAGACAAAAGGGAATCTGTGTCTCCTGATTTTTTACTCTTCTCTAATTTCTACAGGAAACATATTTCTTTTATAACTCACATCAGAATTCAGACATTCATGCAGAAGTTATTATCGATAGCATTCCTGTTAAATATTTATTTGTTCATCAACTGTGTATCCATAAATTATATAAACTGTGAACTGTAAAATTTTTCAGTTGTACTTTCTTAACAAGTTTCTTTTAAGGTACCTTTTCTAGATTATAGATGACAGACAATAGCTGCTTTTTGTTCATGTCTTCATAGTCACCTGTAAAATAAAGTTTTCCTTGTACCGGGCTTTATACAATGTACATGTAGCGTTCACATTCAATGTGGGACCCCTATAATCAATGAATAAATAAAGTATTTCCTTACCCATAATTTTCTTGTCCTTGCCCTCAATTTCCCTATTCAGATCCTCCCTGAGGGCTTTATTTTCCATCTGTAACTCTTCATTCTGTTTATTGATTCGAAGAACAGTCTCATTCAAAGCTCGAACTTTGGCATTATTCTCTTTTGTGGGGGTCCTGTATGACAAAAGAGAAATGAACAAAACATAAAAAAAACTTTCACTTACATTGTATTAATTTCTTTGAGGGAGACATGGACATGTACACCCAATTTTTCAACCCATAACCCGATTATTTTTTATGACCCGGCGGGTCAGTGGACCCGTGACAATAAAATCTTTGGATTTGTTGCATAAATTAGGTTGCACTTTTAACTTTCAGTTACAACCCAAATTAATTTACGTTAACAATTATGGATTAATTTTAATATAAACAATTAACTGGGTATTGTTTTGAAAATTCTTTGAAGTAATTGTGTTACAATTTATCAGGGCCAGCAGGAACAAATTGAACCAAACATATGTCTCTGATTGAACCAAGAAAAAGAGAAACATTATTTACAATTTTACAGTGTACTGGTATGTACATATCAAGGAATCTTGGGAAAAAAACTTTCATTCAAGATAAAATAAAGTGATCGAAGACAGTGTAGGCCTAACTTCACATTTAATACATATTGCAGTAGTTAATTTTTTTAAGAGAGAGGAAAAATGACTTCAAAACTGAAATTTAGCAGAAAATGAAAAGGCTTTTCAAAAAATGCACACCTACTTCAGGTCAATACTGAAATATGAAACCTTCAATTCTCTTTTTTAACATGTAAATTTAATCAAATTATGTATGAATTTTTTTTCATTGTAAATTAAAGCCTTTTTCAACAAAAGAATTCTCAATACACAAATACTTTGTATATACAGTGAAATATCTTCTCGAAAGGACCTAGAAAATGATATCTATGAAATCTGATTATCTTTCAAATTTTATTCAATAATTTTTTTTTTCCCTATATATTATTCATGCGTAACACAATCCTGTAAGGACCAAACATGCAGTCTTTACCCTAATTTGGTTTTCTAATTGTTGTTGTTTTCTTTTGTTTTGTAAAACAATTTAAAAGACATGCCTCATTGCATATACAGTGAATTTACATTTTCCAGGCAATGTTTCGTGGTCAAATGGGATGTATCATTTTTTAGTTGAAGAACCTTCTCCGTAGAAAAGAAACCGATTTTTTAAAAAACATAATTTCATGAAATTAGTGCAAAATGTTATTTAACACAAATCAAAACTGTGAATTTGACCATATTATTCTTGCAGTATGTACAATGCGAATCTACAAAGGAACACATAGGCCTAGTTTACGAAACTAACAATGCAAATGGTGGTCAAGGTTATCTATTTATACGCAGATACACATGAATGTAATCAATCACTGTGCATTATGCACTGCAACTTAACTGTTTAATTTAACTTTATTGTGAAAAAAATTGAGTTTTATGAATTTACGATTTTAATTTACACAAAGCATATTATCAAATCTTTATCAAAAATATTTGAAATGTCACTTGCAAAGTGGTTTGTTTTAGGAAGCAAATGATTATGCTGTGTACCTTTTTGAGTTCTAGCACCTGCTCGTAATATTCCTCCTGAGACCGATAGGCAGGGGTTCCTGTTGGAGGTTTTGCTGAAAACATACAACACAATATACTTAAACATAAGCGAGGGTTGTCCCGAAATTCGTGTTCGACAATCAGTGTTTTTTTAGTTTTAAGAAAAATAACTCATACTGCGATATACCATTTTCACTACTCTATTTACCTGTACATATAATATGAATATATATAGCAAATTTCAAATAGATATATGCATAAATAAACAAATTTTTTATATTTTATGTTATTACTGGAGGTTGGCAAGTATGAGGGAGACGTGGACATGTAAATGTCTGTACCATTCAGGTATTAATTAGGAAAGTGGAGTGACAATAAAATCTTTGTAAAGTTGCAAAATTATGCAAAAAATAAAAATTGATAACCCCAATTATAAATTTTAATAAAAATTACTTATTTACATACTTTCCATAATTGTGTTACAATTATCTACTTCAAATTTTACCAATCCTTACTGAGATGTGCCCATCATCCCTGTGTCTTTCATATTCTGTAATCGGACAATCTCTTGGTAGCACATTTCTAGCTGCACTTTCATTTCCTCAACTTTTGTGGTCTTTAGCTCTGCATGCAATTTTCTAGTGGGGAAAAAGAAAAGAGATTTTCAAAATATTCAAAATACTGTTCATGCTAAGGTTTTGATCCACCAATAATTAGAAAAACTGTATCTTTAGAAAATAGAAAATGATGTCTATGAAATCTGATCTGTTTCAAATTTTATTAATTTTTTTTCCCTGAATGGATTATTAAATACTCTTAAAGGACCTACGCATAATTTGCTTCTTTATCCCTAATTTGGTTTTCTAGTTTCAGAATCTTTTGTTTTAAGCTTTGAATCACAGCTCCTGACTCTGGTCTCTTTTCCCCTATGGTTCGTCGCATCTCTTCATTTTTTGTTGGATCTAGGAAACCTTCTATTTCTTTCTCCTGTGGAATTATTTAACACAAATCAAAAGAATGACCAAGTCCAGATGTACAATAAATCTCAAAATATGATTCAAAATACACACCTTCTTAATGTTATCCTCTTCTGTTCGCCGGACTTTGGCTTTGAGCATTGAAATCTCCTGATTTAGTGATTTGATTTGCTGGAAGAAAACAAAATACGCTCAGTTTTTTTCCAAATCTTGGTTACCAATCTTTACTACAAAAATGATTGAAATGTCACTTGCAGATCCAATAGGAAGCAAATGATTATGTTGTGTACCTTTTTGAGTTCTAGCACCTGCTCGTATATTCTAATTAGGACAATTCCTGTTGGAGGTTTTGCTAAAACATCAAGTATTTAAAACTTTTATCTCCGAAATAATACTTGTATATTCTCTAATATAACCTTGTTTATTTTTACCGTGCGCATGTGTATTTGCCTATCTACCCTTTGCATATAAAAATCAAGTAGAATAAAATCTTTATTTTTGCATATATATATCATCAAAAACATTATGATACACTTAAATATGATGAATAAACATTTAATGAAAATTTCAGCTGTTTCAGTGCGTCCATTAATTTGTGAATGTGTTTTGTCCCACGATTGTGTGGGACAACCCTCAAATAAATGTAGATGCTTCTCCAAATGAGACTTAATTGTACTATCTTTAAAACCTGTAATTTATTGGCTGAAATGCTGCATGTGTGTAGTTGCCTATCTGTCGCTTCCTACTATAAAAATCAATATTGGTGCATAAGAAAATCTCTGTGCTTTTATATACAATTTATGATTTAATTTTATAAAAATAATGTTTGATATCACAATAACTTTTTGTTGTTCCAGCTATTTAAATAATTCAACTTCCCTGTCATCAAAGACATCTGTAGGTTAAACCAACACACGCGCGGTGTTTCTTTGATTTTTCTTGGCCCTGCCATTTGTCTGACTGTGTTGTGACCATTGTGGTTTAGTTTTAGTGCATTTTATCTGTGCTTCTAGTGACTGTGTTTTGTGACCAGTAGTGCTTGTAGTGAATTTAGTTTTAGTGTATTTTTATTTATAGTGCTTGTTACATTGTCGCTTTTCCTGTGAAGGTGTTTGTTTTCCTACACTCCCTGTGTTTTCTGTGTGGTGATATATTCATATAACAAAATTATGTACATCCCATGAAATAAAATAAATATAGAAATGTCTTGAATTCTCAGTCTAAAACTAGGTTTAATGAAATTAATTGAACAAAAGTATTAAAGAAAAAAAATAAATTCGTAAAATTAATGATTACCCCCAGTATAGTCTATAGTGTAAAATTATTATTGAAAGATTCCATTCTTTAGTCATCTTTTAATTTTTAATCAATATATGAAAAGCTAGCTGGTTCTCATCAGCAGTATCTGCTTTATTCTTATCCTGCACTGAGTCCAACACATAGTTTTACCTGTCCCTGTTCTTCTCAGTGTATCAACCCAATATTCTGTAGTGGTTTTGTGCCGGGGACTCTCAGGGTGACGATAAGTTAAAGCCGCTGTAATGCATAGAAATAGGAAATTATTTTACTGAGTATTTCCTTTACCTGCACCTTTCATTATGTTTTATGGTGGATTATTAGAATTTGACTGGTTGAATATTTCAATCTTACGTGTTTCCCTGTGTTTGACAGCTGTCATCCAAAGGTCATGACCTGTTTTTCCACTCCTCGTAGGAGGAGCACTGTGAGCTCTGTTGCGTGGTGTAACTAAAAAAAATATCATACATGGTGCTTGATTTCGTTTTATAATATCAAGTCTGGAAAATCTTTTGCTCCATGAAATACATGTAAATATTACAGTCAAAGTCCCATGTATATGAATAATACTTTACCTTTACTATTTTTCTTGTTTTTCTCTTTCTTCTTTTTATTGTTACCTTAAAAATTGGAATTTGTATTATTATTTTTAAGCTATGGTGGAAAAAGCAAACAATAGCATTTTTCTCGGTTATAATTTGAGAAATATAATGATAATTATTATGATGATGAATTGATGATGATGATAATGTAAATGATTAGTATACATTGTAAGATCATTCAAAATACCTTCTTTCTTTTTGGTCTTTATAGGGGCTGCGTTTCTTGAAACCTTGAAATATACAACAAACATAACTTTGAAATGACTCCACACCAAAATAGTAAAGCTCAAAACACTAAGAAATCGGACATTCCAGTCAGTGTAAAAACTTATGCATCAAACCAATGACACTGCATATTGGTTGGGCCACAGTTAAGTTCAATGTCTTTCACATAGACTAAGTAAGTTAACATAGTTAACTTATCCTGCCTCTGATAAAAATCTTGAAATTTCATTGGCTGAGAGCAATACTGTATTAAATGATGTTATGCTGTCTACCCACCTAACATTGCTAATGTGCCCCCTCCACGTGACCTACCCACCACACATTAAATCAATATGCCCACTCCACGTGCCATACTGCACAGATACATTGTTTTCATTTGAACACACAAAGAGCCTAATAACTGAGGTCATAAAAACATTAAACGACGTCACAATTTAAACAACTGTTACACAATGATTTGCTAACTAAGAAAAAATGATATTAAAAAATCTTCAACAGGATAAATTTGTTATGTAGACACTTAGAGGGGTAATACGGAAATATGTGGGGTCCTTGAAAAAAATACATATATGGCCCGCTTATGCCTCGCCCAATATGCATTTTTTCAAGGACCCCACATATTTCCGTATTACCCCTCTAAGTGTCTACATAACTAATAATATACTGTATGTGTACTTAACATAGGAGGCTTTATATTTTAGTGGCTTTGGTGCTAACAATGATGCGCTAATTCATATGAATACCTCTAAGAAATAATTTTTAGTAGAATATACGGCACAAACATGTGAAGCGCAAATTCATGATTACCAGGTATGCCAACAACTCCATATCCATTGATTGCGCTAAATTTTGAATACGCCAAATTATGTACAGTACTCATACAGTATACGTAATAGTAGAGATGCTGATGAATAAACTTACAAGTGTTGTGACAGTGTGAATATCTGGATCTGACTCGTAGTCATCAGAATTGTATCTCTGCAAAAATATTTACATTATTAACTATATAAATATAATACTAGAATAGGTTCATTTAAGAAATTTGACCATTTGATATTGCTTTAAATAAAATATCTCTATTTCACATGCATCAATGCATTATTTTTTTTTTCAAGCAAAGTGAGTGATTCTTAAAAGTTGTTTTATCGTCACAGCAACAGGATCTGAATTTCAGTAAACACTGTTACCCCATATCAATCTTATGAAATACGTTTACAGATTAGTAATATAACAAGCAACACATTACTTACCAGGGGCTTTTTCGGCATAGTAAACGTGCACAAATCTCGTGTCCAAACTTGACATTAAGAAAATTTAAATTCTCAGCTCCATATAAAATGCATGGTACTGATTTATTTCTCGTACTTCACAAGTGTAAAAATAAAAAGGAAAAATGATATTTTTAAGTGTTTTATAATTACATGTAATTTAACGGCATACACCGCATCACAACAATGTGCCCGTTGTTGACATTTGTAAACAGTGTCATGGAAGTCAAGGGTGCTGCTAATAGACGAAAATATAGCACTAATTTGCGGGATTTTTTTTATTATAAATGATTGGAAATAAAAATCTTTGCTATATTTGCTATAGTGTATCTTTATAAACTCTTTTCAAATTCGATAATGATGGGTAACTAGTAACATAAGATATACTATTTATGTCCTTGGGGTAATACGTCAATGATGCTTCATTTTTAAAATAATGATATTGAGATACAAGAAAAAATACTTAAAAATAACACAATTTTTAAAACATCATAAAACTGCTCAAGCAATTATGCTATAAAAATTTTATTTAATTGGTAAAAGAAATCCATGGAAAAAAATCCAATAATTTTAATTTCGTTTATTAGCCCTATCTATAATCTAAAAACCAAATGAAAAAAAGCAACGCATAATTTTCAAAGACGTCTTTATGAATATTATGATAAAGATTTATGTGTAAAAAATAATCAAAATCATTGGGACGAACTTCTTTTAGGGTAAGATATAGACCAGAATCTATCCATTTGCCACCACATACGCTTCGAGAGTTTGGTCACATGATCTGTTCAAAATGTCGGCGGATCTGACTCTCGGTAAGCCTGCTAATTTGTTTACGTTGCTGTAATTCACCAAGGCATGCGATATGACACTGGAATTTTTAAATACATAGATAAACGAGACTGTAGATATGACAGCCATGTTTTCTGGTTTATTTGAAGGGTCAGTCCCGGCGTACTACAGGGAGGTTTATGAAATTCTGTGTCCCCACAACGAACAGGTTGATAAAGATCTTTTTATACAGCTGCTGTTAAAGTCGAGCTTGCCGCGACCTACAATATCACAGGTATGTTATGAATTTTTATAAACTGTAATTGTGAGCTGAAAAGGACAGTCCTGTAATATGGTTTACCAAATGTACCCCCACGTTGAAGTGGGCGGATCCCAAGATGGCTACATGTTTATGTACGTGACATAAGTTGACACTCTTATGGTTTTCTTGTCAACAAGGAAAAAAAATGTTCTGGACTTTTGGTATATTAATCTTGTGTTTATATGTGAAAAAGAATGGATACGTGCAAAGACTGTGCTACATTACATCCACTTGAACATGTTTAAATATTGAAGGTGTGATCACACACTCAGCATCTGCTCAGGAACATATGCATGTAAATAGGAGGAGGTTAAGGCCATGGCATTGATAATGGTCATGATAAGGAGTTCTTTTGTATCAGATACGTAATTTTGAAATTTTCTTATTATATTATTTTCTTTTTTTATTCAAGTATCTAAATTACGATTAAACTGTTTTCACTTTTTTATTTATGAACAAGTTTTGCATAATTTATGGCAGCTTCAGATATAGTTAAATTAACGAGTAAGTGTCATTTTCAAAAATATTTTTAAAATTTTTTTTGGGGGGGGGGAGGGGAGGTCTTCTTTTTTAAATGCATTAGATAAATGTTTTCATTTCTGAGAAGTGGACAAGCATAGCCTACATCCACTTTTCTTTCTTAATTCGGGTTTTGATGGAAAGTATAAAGGCTGGACATGTTTTTGGGGGAGGGAATAAACACAATATAAATTTTCTCAGATTTACATACTTGAATGGAGGGCAAAGGGGCTGCCTAAAGCAACTTCTTAGATATTTTAATCTAGTAAATGTTACAAGGTCAACACTTTAATATGTTAATAAACTGATAAATCCTTTTTTCCCATTAAAGGTAAATTGCCTAATAAGAGAACATAGATTGGCATTTTCATCAATAAAGAATTGATAACGCCAGTCTGCTGTTAGGCCATTCCAAGTTTTTTCTATATTTAGCGTCCACGTGCGCCTTGGTTTTTGACACCCCATATGAGAAAAAACACACAACAACAGGAGACCTGAAGAAAATTGATAATTCTGTACAGTAAGTTATATTGGGTGTATTGTAAGCATTTAATCCATTGTTTTTGCTTAGGAATAGATATTTCTTCTATTAAAGCAGTTTAGTTAGATCAAATCATTCGAAGGATGTCATTTTTATGACTTTTAAGCTTGTGTTTTATGTTTTGACTTGTGTGTTTTTTGCGAATAGGTAGGTAGGTTGAAAGATGAGTGGACGCTAAGTAGAGAAAAAACTTGGAATGGCCTTATGAAGAGCACATGCAAATACTTCATGATCATTTACTGATAAAAAGTATAAATGAAGATTTACAAAATGTCCTATAGTTTTGTGCATGATTTTCTCTGATTTGTTTAGATATGGGATATGGTAGAGAGCAAGCAGGGCTACCTGACCAGGGTAGGGCTGTATAAAGCCCTGGCTCTAACTGCTCTGGCTCAGCAGGGCAAAACTGTTAGTGAAAAACTACTGGAGAGTTTCTCTGGGCATGGTGAGATTATTTAACAATTTCTGTAAATGATGGATGTAAAAAATGAATGATCATATGTTTATTCTTAAAAGAGGATTTAAACTTTTTTCTATTAGACTTGAATAAACAGCATTAAGATAGATAGCAGAAGAAACAATTTGATAGAAAAAGTTGATCATTTTAACATTAGATTTTAAATTAATTTAAATTCAATTTTCTAGAACTTCCAAGACCCAACTTAGGTGATTTGTCAGACTTACGGGCAACAAGCATCAAAATGCGACGACAGAAATCTCCCAATATACTAGGATATTCTTACCATGAACTTTGTAAACTAGACACAATTAAAGTAGAACTTGTGCCTGAGAAGAAAGGACTTATACTAAAACATGTGGAATATGAAGTCACAAGCCAGGTAAGGGCATGCACAAGGTACTGTATGGTACATAATTTGGCGTATTCAAAATTTAGTGGAATCAGTGGACATGGAGCTGTTGGTGTAATCATGAATTAGCGCTACACATATTTGTGCAATATATTCTATTCATAAATGTATTCATGAATTAGTGGATCATTGTCTGCACCAAAGCCACTAAAATATGAAGTCTGCTATTTTTAAGTACACATACAGTATGTTATTGAATAAATATATGAAATATGTCAAGTATTTCAGCATGTTTTTTTTTCTTTAATTTCAATGTAAACCAGTATGACTTTACTACAATTTGCATGTGTATCAGCTGTGTCCTTAGATTTCATTTGTTTGAACAGAAGAGAAATCAGAGTACAGGAAAAATCAGTGCTTTTCTTTACAATAGCTAGATACAGCTGTTGAAAAAAAAAAAATTATTTGCTTCAAACAAGTGTCTGTTTCCTTTTCTGTTTTCTGAAAATCTTGATAAAATTTTAGAAAGTATTTGGATGAAAATACATGACATGTCATATGTACCATGTTTTATCTGATTATGAGATTACAAGTACTGGGTGTATGCACATTTATGTGTATTCCAGTGGCTGAGATACTCATTCAAATTAACAAATTTTAAAGAAAACATTGATTAATACATGTATATTAGTATTATAAAAAAAAAAAATTCCAAATTTTCATTGTTAAAAAAACATTAGCCACTTCATATTAACTATTATCTAACATTTTAAAATTATCCTCTTGAACACTTGATCAGAGAGGAAATGAAATTACAGAACCTGATAGAGACATATGTAGGACAGAACATAAAGAGATCCTTGAAGTTAAGTAGAGGTACTTAACAACTCGGATGAGCGCTGAGTAAGGACTGGGTTACTGTTAATTGGGTTGCTGATGGACAGAGAGATGTTATGCAATTTGAATGAGATAATCTTTCGTTGACTAATATTGAACTTTGTTTTTACTGTTTTATAAAGTGTTAGTATACCATAGGAGCAATTTGAAAAATGAAATAGGGCGTAAAATTAGATACCATTCCGGTACATGATTTTACCAATTAGGACATTAGGTATTTAATTAAGGCTAACCCTTGATATTTCTGTCTGTCATACTGTTCTGATCAACTGGCTGTCTGCACACTGATGTTAAAATTAGGTGGCCAATTTTGTGTAGAAAAATTTTATGTTAGTTTCTTACTAGGTTAACCATGTAAATGTTTTACAAATTCCTTTGTGTATAGTAAAAAAATATCCAAGATCCCAATTTTGTATTTTACACTCAAGTACATGAAAAATTTTTTATGTATCTTTTTTGTAGAAATTCTTGAGAATTAATTTTCTAGGTAAATAACCATGTAAATGTTTTAAATAAAAATTTATGATTCGAATATTCGTTTTTAAGTATACAAGCATTAAAAAGAGAGAAAAACCTGTGTTTTATTTGAAATTGAATCAAGTTTGTACAAAATAAAAAAAACCACTCCTCTTGGAATACCTTAAAGGTGTGAAGTGTGTATCTAAGAGTAATTTATTTATTTGTTTACTTAATTAGTGGTATAATAGTGTCCAGTATTAACAATCAACTTTGTATTGTTGTAAGCCTTTTACAGTGAACACACAGACTATTTTAATATCATTAAAAATCATTATCAGGAAATTATAATTTGCAAAAAGTAATTGCTTTTAATATTTCACCGTAATCTGCTTGGTATAAATTTGTAGGAGTTATCTGAACAAAATCTTTTGAATTTTCAAAAAAAAAAGAACAATCATTACATTTTGGATGTATACTAGTAGTGCATTTTTTGACTTTAGTTTTTATTCCAAAATAATGGCAAAAACCTATCTTTTTTATATATTTAATAATGCAAGATGTATTTATTTTATCGAATATATTCGAATACTCCTATCGAATATTCGAATATCAATTATTGACAATTTTGACATCCCTAGTGTAAATTAATAATTTTTGTATATAATAAAAAGGTTGATATCATTCATAGATGGATTTTTATGACTTTGTTTACTTCCATTCAACCAATTTCTGCTCTTTGATTGAAAAATGATAAAACAAAAAGACTTCAGTTTTCTCATAATATTGTCATACACATGATTTAAAAAACAAAACAAAGAAATGTGGTACATGACCTGCCCATTGTAACGTAACTCAATTATGTTTAAGTGCCCTTTCAAAATTTTTTTATCAAGGAGCAATTTGGTGTTTCAAGGAGTCTTTTGGCTGATTTGTTAGGCTTACTGATGAAATCAGAATAGTCACGTAGCCATGTACATGTATATCCTTTTTTAAATGCTTTGACATACACAAAAGATTATTAATAGATATTGAATTAAACATTTCCTTCCCTAGTTTTTGACTTGAACATATATTTTAATTTATGTAAGTTTGATTTATTTGCAGGTTTGTAAAACCACAGTGTTGAGAAGATACACTGACTTTCTGGCATTCCAAGAAATGTTAATGACAAGATTTCCCTACAGACTTATTCCAAGACTGCCCCCTAAGAAAATGATGGGAGGTAACTCATACAGTCTGACTTAATCATAGCACACAAATATCAATATTGTTCTTTTGTATAATAGCAGTCAAGACCTAAAATAAATTTTAGGCAAAAAGGAACAATTCTGAAAAAAAAAATATATTTATGTTATAATTCAATTTCAGTTATTCTAATGAATAAGGTTTTTTTCCCAGCTGATGAAATTTGATTTACAAGATAGTCTTTAGATTAACTGTTATTTGTTATCACATTTAAAACTTCCTACTTTTGTTTCTAAAGCTAACAGAGAGTTCATAGAACAGAGACGTAAAGCTCTGCGACGATTTCTGAACTTGATTGCCAGGCACCCACAGATGTATGATGACAAACTCGTCAAATTCTTCTTCACATATTCAGGGACAGTAAGTTGTTCATCATCATTATAATCATACTTGTATGTACATGTTATGGGATACCAACAACAAGCACCATTATAAGTTAAGGAAAAAGGAATAAGATGTAAAGTAAAGGCACGGAGCCATTGAAAACGTTTTGTCAAGTTATAACTTAAAGATATGATCAAAATTATAACCAAAGAATGCCTCCACATTGTGGTCAAAGTCATCTTCCAAAATATGCACTGATTACTCATAGAATACAATTTAAAATAAATACATAGAGGGAATATGGGTAAAAACTTTTAGTTGATTTTTCTAGCTTAAATTTTTGCGATATACATGTATCTATGAAGTTAAAATAAGAGATTACATAATTTTCATATTTTTCTCAAACAGGATATGCAGCACAAAATAAAAGAGGTTTTTAGGGGAATCCCAGATGAATTTATGACCAGCAACCTTGCAAGTCAAGCCAAGGTATGTAGTTAAGACTCTCTAAAAATTGTGATGCCTTACATCAGTGGTTTTACCTTTTTTCTGTTCTTTTATATCTTTCCTTTGGATCAATTAAGTAGCTTTCAAATTTTAAATATGGAATTTTTCCAGCAACTTGTAACAGAAAGTTCAATATAAAGTTGATTTTGTTTGTCATGCACTGATATGTACATAACAAAATTATCACCCTTGTGGATGCAATGTAAATTTTTGGGGAAGCTAACCTAATGAAATGATAACATTGGTACCTATTTAACAATAATGATTCCACAACAGTTTTCCAACCTTTTAAATGAAAAGGAAAAATCAGTATTTTTCCTCAGTAAATCAAACATCATGTAGAAAGATAACTCAGATTGCCCACTGCAGGAGAACACTGTATAATGTATATAATCCCTGTTTCATTGATTTCTCCTTTATTCTTTTTAATTTGTTCGTTTTCTCCCCTTAGGATCTAGTGCCAATGGACACCCAGACTCAGCTCTCTAACAGTAAGGAACACATTAGGATTTTATATAACAGTGTATGTAAATTAAAAGACATCACAGAGAGAATGGTCTTCAGAGCCACTAACTACGCCTGTGATATGCTCCAGTTTGGACAGGAATTAAGGTAAGGATATTTAGGGATGATCGTAGTTTCATTTTGGGAAAATATATTTAGGTGTGATGTTGAAAAACAAATTAAAGGACAGCCATTGCCTTGCTGTTCTGTTCAGTATCCATTGAGGCAGATGAAAAAAAGCAACAACAAAAAAATGATAATAAATGAATAAAAAGTGTTACACCTTGAAAAGAATTCAAAGAAGCCTAATTTTCATTCCAGGAACTTTATAAATATATTTCAAGTTAATGATATAAAATAAAAAAACACTTTAACAACGAATCAAAATAGGTCACACTTGCTCTTTGGTATAAGTGTGTTTATAATTGGAACAATATTAAAATACATGTACATTGTATGTATTTGCACCTTCAACTGCCAAATCTTCCAGAGAGTGATGGAAGAAGTATGAATACTATCTAAATCAAGCTTGTGTAAACGTAAATGGTTTCTTTATTTACTTTGTAGTCAGTTAAGCAATGACAGTACCCCTATCTCAGCCTGGGCTACAGGAACCACAGACACGTGGAGCCACCTACAGAAGGGGTTCAAGCACCTGTCTGTGGAGTACGCCGCCATATCAGAGAAAAGCTCAGTAGAGGTAAGGACCATAGTTATGTAAACTGAATAGAAACATTTTAAAGATAAAAAAAAAAAGAAGTACAGTTGAACGTTGTTATCTTGAAAACTGATATCTTGAATACCATATTTATATTGAAATGATTTGTAAGTCCCAACCACTTATTCTCTATGTGTTTTACCCTCAATATCTCAAATCCTTGAATATCACATTTTTTTCTCGGTCTCATTGAGTTCGAGATAACAAGGTTTGACTGTATATAAGTGAACAAAGGGATACAACCTTTAGGCATCCTCTTTTAACAAATCAAACAAATTTTAAACAGAGGAAAATCTCAAAGAAACTTTTCTTTTTCATGACATTTTTTACAAAGCTATTTTTAATTTTTCATTTTTCAGGCTGCAGACGAAGATGAACATGTTCTAGAGAAATTATCATTCTTCCAAGATATGTTAATATCATACAGAGTAAGTGAACATATAGAATATTAAATACCTGGTACAGTAAATAAATCTGTAATAACTACATTGTATTGAAAAGAAACTAAATAGATGTACACGTACAACATTTAACTTTCATTAGTACATGAGTATTGTACATGTATGTAGTGTTCTAAAAATACAAGTATCAAATTGATTGACCAATGAGACTTTTTTACCTTTCCAGGATTTATGTGAGAGACATGAGAAAGGAGTTCTACAGGATCATCAAAGGGCCATTGCTAAAATGGGGCAGTATAAAAAGAAAAAAATGTCTGCAACTGTTAGCTCTTCAGAGGTTTGTAATTACTGCAGTTCTATCATACGTTACACTGAGTTTAGTATGCCTTTTAAATGTTATTATAATAAATATCTTTTGAACACATTATTACTATAATAATTTTAATAAATCAAGAATTTTATTAAGAATGATTCTGGAAGATGTAGAATGTATAGTTTTGCTCTAGTTTATTGTTACTTTTTTGAAGGATACGGAAAACGCACTAGAAATCTATAAATTAATTAGCATAGTCAAATTGAAGACCAGTCTTTTTAACCATTTTTAGAATTAGTGTGATCATTGATTAGTGCATTTGGACCCAAACTTATATGAGTATTTGTATAAATCTATTATTCTGTAATTAAATTAGCAGACAAGAAGTAACATGATAGGCCCTAAAATATGATTTCGGCTAAATTAAGATTTATTGTAGTTATACATGTACTGCCAGTACATGCATATTACATGAACATAATCAAATCTCGTAATAAATTATTATTGTATACATGTGTTGTATAGGCTGGTGCTGTCGAACAGTTGGAGCAGAAAATACTTGATGTAAGTTTTAAACACATAACTGATATTAAAATATTAACATGGAGAAGTTTAATTCATTTTTGATTTTACAACCTTAATACAGGATTCAAAATTAATTTATAAACTTATTCAATAAGATATAAAATAATATTTTCTTTCAAAAAGTTATTATAATAAATGTTTTTGAAATATTGAATCTTTGATGCACTTATTGCAGCAAGAGGGTCAGATAGCCAATATGGAGAACAGGAATTACTACAGTTTACATTGTTTACAAATGGAGACACAACTGATTCATGCCAACCTGGATATTTTATATGACATCCTGGGAGACATGACGAAGATTCAAGCTAAAGCACACAGGGAGGTAAGTCCTAATTAAATCATATTCTGCAGCTTAGAATTCAGTTATTTATTAACAACCAGAATTGGTTTGGCCATGGAAATTGGATTTACATGTAGCTCAGTACTTAGAGCACCTTATGTGACTTGTGATGTAGAGATACAAGGTTTCAATTCAATATTTTCTCCTTTCCTGTTACAGACGTTTAACATTCATAGTAAATGTTATTTATACAATGTATATTTTTCATTTATCAGCGGAAAAAAAAACCCAGAAGTCTCTGTCGAGACTGTAGCTCTACTGGTTTGTACTTATAACAAAGGATGAGAAAAGAAGCCATTGCCATCAGACCAAAACTGTAGAAAGAGTAGCGTTTTAAAGGAATTTTAGACATTTTTATTTTTAGTAACAATGGCAACACTGTTCATCAAATCAAAAACCAATGTACTATTTTATGTATCTTATTGTAGTCTACTTGTGTGCCAAGTAATATTGAAATCAAACCAAAACTGTAGAAGGAGTAGCGTTTTAAAGGAACTTCACAGAAAATTCTATTTTTAGTAACCATGGCAACACTGTTCATTGAAATCCAAAACCGATGCACTATTTTATGTATCTTAGTGAAGTCTACTTGTGTGCCAAGTAATATTGAAATCAGACCAAAACTGTAGAAGTAGTAGCGTTTTAAAGGAATTTCACAGAAAATTCTATTTTTAGTAACCATGGCAACACCGTTCATCGAAATCAAAAACCGATGCACTATTTTATGTATCTTAGTGTAGTCTATTTGTGTGCCAAGTAATACTGAAATCAGACCAAAACTGTAGAAGGAGTAGCGTTTTAAAGGAATTTCACAGAAAATTCTATTTTTAGTAACCATGGCAACACCGTTCATCGAAATCACAAACTGATGCACTATTCTATGTATCTTAGTGTAGTCTACTTGTGTGCCAAGTTATATTGAAATCAGATCAAAACTGTAGAAGGAGTAGCGTTTTAAACGAATTTCACAGAAAATTCTATTTTTAGTAACCATGGCAACATCGTTCACCAAAATCCAAAACCAATGCACTATACTTGTGTGCTAAGTTATATTAAAATCAGACAAAACTGTAGGAGGAGTAGTGTTTTGAAAAATTGTTTACAGACAGATGGACAGCTAGACAGACAGACGTAAAGCTCTTCTGGTCTCTGATCAGCAGAGCTAAAAACAGATGAGAAATTACAGTCATGTGTAATTTTATGTATTTTCAGCTTGGAAAAGTGTGGGGTGATATTCAACCAATCATAGACAATTTACAAGGCCCCCGCCCCGATTCTCCTGCCAGACTGTCCCCTGTGGGTTCCCCCACCAGCAACAGTCACCCAGGGATCACAGCATAATACACTACTGCCCACACAACAGTTCAAACCTCTGTATACTGGTTGTAATCTGCCTCAACAACTTATCATTCCACATCAAACCTCAGAGGATCCTGATTTCATTCATTATTCAAAATGGCACTTGTATTCAAATTATTCAGCTGTCATTGCATATGTATTTTTTCCCCCCAAGGGAAAAAAACTTGGGTTAGATTTACTTATGCAAACTGTGAAATTTGAAAGTAAGAGGAAAAGTTCATGAGAAAATTGGAAATGCATGTATTATAAGATCAGCTGAATCGTCACTAGTCACATAATATTGTTAGTCTCCATTGATTCAGGTATACAAGAATCATGAATACATTTACATGTATACTATGTTAAATATATACTTATACTGAAAAAGTTGCTACCTTACCATACTGTGTATGTTTTGTTGCCATTGATAATTTCAGGAGTCATGTATCTGATTTGGTTATCTTGCAGATATACTAGAGCAAATCACTTCATCTTTTTTTTTTAAATACCGGTATATGTTATACATGTAATCAGAAGAATATTTACATGTACTTTATTTAATCGCTAGGTCTCAGATATCTGCATTGAAAAAAAAAACAAGGAAAAACATATACACAGGTTTGCATTATGTAAAGTATAAATTAAAATGCAGCATTACTGTATCCCACTTTTCTTTTATAATAAATCTGTGCATGTTCGGGAAATTTTGAATGTCCTATAATGTTTTATTTTAATATCTTGGCCACATGTTTTGGCATATACAATCTTGCATTTTGCTCTATGTGTTGGATCTCACTGCATTTAACAAATATTATTCCTCCCACTAGTGTCTAATTAAGCAATTTGTAAATCTAGGACAATGTTAATAAATATTCTTGTTCTCTCTAGTGTAAAATTGCAACAAACTTCTTTTGGATTTTTCATTAAAAAAAGGAATTAAATTTTAAACAGAAAATATCAATGAAATGACATATGGGCATTGGAGTTCTCTTGAATTGATAGTGTGGAATTAATTAACATTAGAAAACTGGCTGTCATTGAGGGGCTAAGGCACGGGTCCTTTGTCATTTGCAGCATTATAGTGTGCATATCTGTCAACAACAACATCACCAGTAATCAATGAATTATTCAAAGGATATAGGGAGTATTGAAGTGGCATAAAAATGTCTCTTGTGTTGTACACAGTATGTCAGACTTTGTGCCCATGAATGCATGATTTCAATTTGGAATTGCTCTTCTTTTTGTTTTTCATTCGTCTTTTCTTTGTTTTTGTGGGTTAAGGGAGCATCTTTATCAAAATTAAAATCTCTCTGTTGTAAAATTCAATGCATTCCAGATACCTTGCCAATCGGATCACGCTCGCCCTTTCCGGTAACCAATTAAAGATATTTGTGACCGAGTAGTTACGATTGATACCTTGCAAGGTTTAGAATTTAATAATTTTTTTAAGCAGAGCTATTCTTTCGCTTCGTTTACAATTCACCTTCTCAGAATTATTGCTATAAATAATGAAATATTGTATTCTATACTGTATCATAAATCGATGCTAAGAATTTTTGTGTAACATAGAACATTTTCCAACCTTGTCCATTTAGACTTTTGAATACAATTGTTATTGTTATACCCATATGAATTAGTTAGGGCATATTGCAATTTGATATTTGTCCTACTTAAATTGTTACCCAACAAATAAAATTGTGAAATTTGCTCTGTTGTTTTTTTTTTTTTACATCCACAAAATTTAATCTTCAAAAGAAAAGTAAGGAAACAGTTTATAAGATTGGGGATGTGAACTTGCATTATTCCTGTCAGCAAGCAAGCCACAGACTGTTGAATGGTAACTTGTAACTTTTCAGTAGGTCCATCATTTTCATGCACCCCAATCGATAGATCGGGGCATATACTGTTTTTGTCCTGTCCATCTGTTTATCTGTTCATCTGTCTGTGGTCAACTTCGCCATAACTTTTAAACCGTGAGAGATAGAGACTTCATGTTTGGTATGCAAATTTCACTAAGTTCTTTCAACTGACAAAGGTCAATGACCTTGTCTATGACCAATACTGGAAACCAACTTTTATTTGCGTGCAAGAAATTTTCGCAAAGTTTGGGAGAGGCTCGTCAACGCGAATATTTCTCACCGCGAATAATTCTTAAAATGTATGTGTCCTATAACAATAGATCCAAAAAAAGCTTGTCAGAAAATTAATCGTTGCGAACTAGTTTATACCCGGTAAATCACGAAATAAAGTTTCCTTCTAATTAAAAGGATGTTTAACATCATCATAACCTATACATGCATTTGACCTTTGAATATAGGTTGAAGTGCACTAAATCAACATTATTGAATCAGTTTTAAAAAGATAAAAATTTATTTAATAACAATCACATACAATGTTCAGTTTCTCACATCATTTTTCACTATTAGATCTATTCATGAATATCACAAGCGACACTTTCATCATCTAAAAAAAAATGATTTTTGTGTCAAGCAGAATTTAACATGTGCACATTAAGTGTATGTATATAGTACTATTAAGTAAAGTTTTAAACTGTATATAAAACAACAGTATATAATCACATGTTTTTCAAAAATATTCTGACAACAACAAATTTAATTTAAGTTTCCATTTCGTGTCCCTCTCAGGTTGATATTCGGGGCTGACTAGGAGGGTGGGGTACAATAGGGGGTAGTGGGGGAGAGTCTCTGATTGGTCTAAGGATTGGGGTGGTTCTGTCAAGCAGATCGGTGACTTCTAGTGCTGGCTTTGTTGTTTTATTGGCCACTGGATTCAGTCCTTGTAGATTTGTTGTTAAGACATCGGATTTACGTACATACTGCAATACCAAAACATGCATGCTTTTTCAGATAAAGTTTATTTCCATGTAAATTACATATAAAGCACATACTGTGAAAGAGTCCATATTTACTTCTTGAAAGGAAAAAAAAAATCTTGGTGCATATTGATAACTTATCTTTGAAAAAGTCAATTGTAAATATTTTAATGATTCTTTGGAACTATTTGCTACTACTGAGTATGATATTAAGATGACTTACCCTCTTTGGTCCTCTCCTTATCCTTCCACCCTCTTTAACTGTAACCCCAGGAGCTAGTTCCATTGTCTCTATCTGCAGGAAAAAATAATTATTTGGAGAATAAATCCATCAATTTCCAATTTATGAATGAATACACATAAATAATATATGTATACAGCTCCCTAGTATAGAAAAGATATAGACGGAAAGATTTTGAATTCTCTTTAAATATGCTTACACTGTTGTGATTGTTATCATAATGAGATATGGCATGCTCATTTCTTACTTTAATTTATCAATTTTAAATAATTCACTGTAATTTTCTGTTTTCAAGGTTAATTTTTACTCACCATAGGGGGAGGTAACTCTGTTTTTGCATCTGTTTGCCTGGATGAGGAATCATCTACAACAGTGGACATTACAAAATCAAATTACATGAATTTCATTTATTAACTTTAATCAAACTATGCTTTAAATTTTATATAAGAGTATCATGTAAGAGCATGGGAAATTCATAGGAATTTATACACTGTATAGGTCTAGAACTAAAAGCAAACACAATTCGCCAATTCTGTATAAATTCAAATACAATGGCCTATGATTATCTAGAGAAAAATAATTTCATAAGTGTTACAATATATTTATTCAGTGTTAATGTAACTTACCAAAAGATTTATCCAGTGATTCTTCTGGGGATGTCTTCTTTTTCTTTAACTTTATTCTCATGAATTTTCCATGTCTCATGGCCTCTAGTCTGGCTTGAGCTGCCTCAACTGATGGATCTACTACTTGATAATTAACTTTAACTCTGAAATAATAAAAATAATTAATAACTCTCCTTGGCAACCCACAAATACAGAATTATATCTACTCTCACGCTATACATGTATCATTTAATTTCTTTTATAACTTCTTCTTTTTAAATAGATAAAAGATAAAATCTACAAGAAATGCTTGAAATATATACATACTTATGTGAAGGAAGTTTTTCTGGGTTTAATTTGACTACGGCCAGAACGTTGCCCATCTCATCATAAACAACATCTTTGTTCCCTGGTGGTCTTCCAGACTGAACCTGTAAGAGTTATTCCCCTTTATAGAGCATTCTCACTCCAACACATAATCAGAGACTTTCTGACAAGACACTTTAATAATTATACATATAGTAAAATGTGACATATCAACAAAGAAGAAGTTCAATGTTCAATTTTTTTGCATGTGTTAAATAAAAATATTTATCATATTTGTATTTCATCTTCATTTCAGAACTTCGGTAATGTAATTCTTTTTTTAAATCTCTCACACACTCATATTGAAGTATGAAAGAGAAAGAGATTGTTTTTTATAAATATATGTTTTAAACTTACTTTGAGAATTGAATGACATGATGCTGGCATATTCAACAGACCACTGGCCTTGTCCATTTGCTTGAATTCTAGACTGGCCTCGATTTCCGCTGCTACCATCTTCATCTCCGTTTCTTCCAGCGATTCGGACATTCTGCTGACATGACTGGAACCAAGTCTACCCTTGTATGGCTTAAACTTAAACCTCCTCTCTGGTTTCTTGCCCTGTTAAATTGCAAAATGAGAACAATTTGAATGCAAATCACAAATTTTTACAACAAAAATAAATAATTATCCCATCAAAGTTTAAATGAATTAACATGTAATTACCAATTAATACTCTTGTAACTGTATTTGACGTGAGGACTGTTTCTAGTCATTGCCCAATTTATTTATCATTATACTTCCAAAATGAAATAATATACAAATATCATATGAGTACCTTATTATTTTGAGTTTTGGTAATTTCTGGAGTTTCTTCTGTTTCGGAGACTTTGTCTTCCATCTCTGGAACCTCCTCCTCAACTTTGGTGCTTTCCTTCCCTGGTCTACAAAATATAGGATTCCAATTTGTGAATGTGTACCTCATACATGTATTGGTACATTAACCCTTTATAAAAGTTGTTTTGACAACTTGCTGAATATTTTGTGTTTAGTTGCATTTGTAAAGTAAATAAGTTGCTAAAAACAATTGAGTTAATTTTACACTAAATAATAATAAAATAAAGATGCAGCTAAATTTAAACACAGAAAAATTTTTACATCTTTAAAAAGTTTTGTTTGGTTAGTATTTTTAAATAATATCTTGCACTAAAGATGATAGTCAAACCTTGTTATCTGAAACTGAATGGGGCCAAGAAAAAATAAACATTAAATATCCAAGGATGAAAGAGATACCTGATCAGGAGAAAGTGGAACTTCAAACAAAATTTTACATGTCCGTGGTATCTGAGAAACCAAAGTTTCAATGTACTTACAGTGGAGAAACATCTTCATCTTCAACATCAGGATTTTCATCAAAGACCTCTGCCACAGGGGAAATAGGTCTTGGTGGAATGATTTGTTTTGGTACAGATCCCTGGGCCCAGCAGTCAGTCGAAGCAGGATCTGGCTCTAAAATTGAAAATTAAATCATCAAACACCATTTCAAATTTGATTTGAATGAATATAGATATGTTTTATCTTTACAAATATTTTAAAATGTAAGCAGCCTTTCCACTTACCCTCATCTTCCATCCACCCAGCATCAGTTTCAATTTTAACTTCTCCTTCATCGCGTGCTAAAAACTGCCACTGAAACATAAAAAAAAAATAAAAATTAATTTTAATAAAACGTTGAACTTAAAAACCCAAACAAAGAAGCAATTATAAAAACAATATGATGTGATAATCTTTGATTTAAACTTTACATTTTTTGTCTACTCTGTTTTAATAAACTTACATCAATTATTTGAAGAATGGCATCTTTTGCCATTGTAACTGTGAATGGTAGGAGTTGTTTGTCAATGTAAATATCATATATTTTTTCCATTGTGGTTTCCACCACCTCTTCCATAATGTCTTCAATGAAATCCTCTGCTCCATCTTTGTCGAGCATGAAATTCCTGTAGAATGTAAATGGTACTGTACTATTAATGTCAACAATGAATATATTTCAGCTCACATTAATTAATACATGCTTTGTCAACCTCCAGGTGCACATGCATATTCAAAAAAGATGTTTAGCCAAAACATCTGATACATTTAATTAAATCATGTAACATGATTATTCTTGCCCTCATCTGTAATTGAGCGAAGATAAAGAAACACATGCATGTATACATACTTTAACATTTAATTACAATTTAATTAAACGTCACAGTGCAGTAGCATTTTATTATAACGAGTGATTGTGATCTTAACAAACAGAAGATAAGATTAACAAATTTTGTCTGCATACCAGTCCTGATCTGTGAATTTTCCAGGAACAATTTCATGTGCCACCACAGGTGTATGTGCAGGTGGTGGTTTAGACCCTTTGTCTGCCCGTGATTTGGACACGGCAGCTCGCGACATGATTATTTATTGTTTGTTCAGTCGATATTTTGACAAAATACACCCTGAAATAAATTCCCGAACTATCCCATATCTGTCATGTTTTCGCTCGGTTTTGCCTTAACCGGATGTTGATGTTACCTAGACAATACAAGCTCTCGTTTACACGAGACTTGTGTTTTTCTCTTTAAAATATATCAATTTAATTTTTATTGTGTTAATTTACAAATTTGATAATGTAAAATTAACTTTTGTTTTCTTTTTGTCTTTTCTGATAAATTTTTTGCTTTAAAAAATTTAAAGATTGGTCACGTGACTTTCAATATGGAAGGTATGTGTTTTGGCGTGTATAGAAACCACTTGCCAATGTTATTGCTTTGCTTTATTTTCAAATAAGGTTTTTATGACACACATAAGATAAGGTCTTAAACACTTATTTAAGAAATAAAAGTGTGGAGCGTTGGCGATGAAAAGTACCAAATAATGTTAAAATTACAATGTCATGTTCAACATGATGTTGATTGAAAATATTTTCATTTTCCTAGATTAAGAACAAATACTCCAAATCAGAGATTGAAAACACAAAAACATGCACGGAGGAGGAATGATGATGGTTTCTGGTAGTGGCTATGGCCAAACACATTTTGGAGGAGGGCGCCCAGGTATTGAAAAAAAAAACTTAAAAGATATACATACAAGTTTGATAAATGTTTTGTGATTATATACTACATATAGAAGGCAATATAGATTTATCATTAATACCCCAATTTAAAGGACCCCTTGTGGTTACAGGGATGACTGGACATGCATACATTTTAATTAATTACAAACAATCTAGGCTCTTAATTAGCAAAAAGGTGCAGTATGAACCTTACTTTTCCTTAATTAATATTGATGAATTCATAAGTACCCTTTTCACTGCATGTTAAAAGAATAACACAAGACTGTTCAAACTTTTATTCAGAAAGCAGAATGCGAGACCATTTAAGTGAAAATGTGAGGAGGATGAGACAAATTCAGAGACAGTCTAAAGAGAGAGAAGCCAGTGCACATCAACCAGTCAAAGCACTATGGAAATCAGAAAAATACAGTGGAATTACATCAAAAATTAAAGATGACATACAGGTTTGTATTTGTTATAAATAAACAATATTTTGAAGATCATGAAGATTGTCTCTAACAAATTATGTATAGATAGTTTTCGAACAAATATTTTGAAGATCAGAAATATTTGGAAAAATCTTTATTAAATATTTTTTTTTAAATAAAGATTGTCTAATTCAAAATCGCAACAAAAAATTTAAAATTGTAACAATTATTAGCATTTGGAGATGTGCCTAACTTTTGCTAAATTTAGTCATTTTCTCTATAGCTAGATGTGCCTCAGTATTTTTATCTTCTTGTTAAAGTTAACAGATATGGTCTGATATAACACACATATTGAACATTTTTGATTTTGTTTCTTATTTAGAGGCCTCCATCTGCTCCAAGGCCTAAGTCAGCTAATTTCCTCCGAGCACACTCAAGAAATGGTCCCTCTGTAAAAAATGTTTCTCGTCCTTGTACCCCAGACCCACCAGCAGAGAAACTTACTGTCCCTCCAGCCAGATGTTCCAGTGAGGTAGGTTTATATTAGTCCTTTTATAAAAGACTAAATATTTTACTTTAGGCCAAGATTTTCAACAATCTTAGATTCTTGTCCAATGCTTGGAATTATATGACGATTTAGCATGAATACTGTAAGTTGTTTTAATTCCATGGTGTTAAAATTTCATGATTTCTCAAAAAGTACCAATGGCGATGGTTTTAATTTCACGCTGCTAGACATTAATTTTTGTATAAGCATTTAAATGTTTTTAAAAACTAATGATGACATTCGCTATGGGATTAATTTTGCAGAAAAATGATGAATCGCAAACATAGTGAAATTAAAACCATCATGATTATTTGCCAATTTACAGTATCATTATGTTAATTCCTTGGAATTTCATGTGAAAAAATTTTTTACATGTATGTGGTACAAAACATGTTTTATCTGCTTTTATTAATACAATAAGATTTTTTGTACTGTAAGGCATTTCACCAGCTTTCTCTACTTTACAGATTAAATTTCATAGAAATAACTTAGACTTTATCAAAATCAATGGAATATCAGCAAAACACCAGATGATGAAGAGAAGTCCCAGTGTGAATGCTTTGGATGAGTTAAAAAAGAAAGAGGAAGAAGAATATGGCAAGCATCAGAGAGGAGAGGTTCCGAAATAGTATGTATAAGATCAAAATTAACACGAAGATGGAGAAAGATTAGTAAACCAGAGAGATTAATCAATCATATTGATAGTCAGCTCAGAAATGATACTGTAATATTTAATACATGTTTACTATGGTCAAGTGCAGTTGGACGAAAATATTCAATTTAAAAATCAATGAAGCAGAAACACAAAACTTACTGTTTGATATGTTTGTTATTCTCACCAAGCCTAAAAGTACGCAAAGACCAGTGGAAGAAAGAAGAGAAGGACAGGATAGCTAACACACCAGACCCAGAGATGCCTCCCGGTCATCGACTACTGCCCGAGAAAGAACGTCAAGAAACTCTCAAACTTCTACTCATAAGTAAGTGTGTTATCTAGCTATTCTATGATCTATACTGCTACCCTTCCCCAGATTACAAGATACTCACTTCTGAAACAGTTATAATATCTTTATGGTCTAATCTCTATGTTATTGTCAAGCTGGAAGAGTGAATATACAAATGTAAAATTTGGTTTTTAACTCACCTGAGCTGCAAGTTCAAGTGAGCTTTTATGATCACATTTTGTCTCGCATTTGCATGTCTAGCTGTCCCTCTGTCTGTTCATCTGTAAAGTTTTCACATTATGACTTCTTCTCAAGAACCTCTGTGCCAATTTTGACCAAAGATGTCACAAAGCATTTGTTTAGGCCATGCAAAATTAATTCCTTGGTTCTCAGGCCTTTTTTCAAGAAATATGATGAGGGAGGGAGGCATTTTTTTTTTACTTTTTAAAGATGTCACAAAGCATTTGTTTAAATGAAGACCAACAGCCCCTTTTAAGGTGAATTAATTAAGAATTGGTGAAAATTTAGTATTATCTTTTAAAAATCTTCTTCTCAAGAACCATTGAGCCAGGAAAACTTAAACTTACTTGAACCCTACATTAGTTGTGTTAATTAAAATTTGTTCAAATTTCATGACCCCAGGGGAAGAATGGGGCCACAAAAAGGGAATCAAAGTTTTACATATTAGGAATATTAAGGAAAAATCTTCAAAAACTTTCTTCTTAAGAATAGCAAAATCATGATTAGTCATATTGATGTGGAATCATCTTAAGATATTATAGATTCAAACTTGTTTAAATCGTGACCTTTAGGAGTAGGATGGGGCCACAATGAGGGATGGAAATTTTACACAGGAATATATACAACAAATAAAAATCCTCATCTCAAGAACAAAAATACAATTAGACATATCTATATGGAATCATCTTAGGTAGTGTAGAGACCCCTGGGGGAAAGTTGGGGGCATAATGGGGTATTACATAGGAAAATATAGGAAAAATCTCTAAAAATCTTCTCAAGAACCACAAAGCCACAATTAGTAAAACTGATATAAAAGCATACTAGGATAGTACAGATTCAAGTTTGTTCAGATCATGACCCCCCAGTTCTTACTGAAATTTTCAATTTTACTTGCAGAGGAAAAAGAACTAGTGAATGAACTGAGTGCTCTCCCTCTACGTATGGACACTTTTAGAATCCGCTCACAAAAGCAAGAACTAGAGGGTAAAATAGCCGAGATTGACGAGGCCAAGAAAATATTCAACCGTCCCAAGGTGTTTGTGAAAGTCGACAGTTAAAGTATTAAAACCTGTAAATACCTGTAATGTGATACTGACTGAAATATTTGTTTCAATTTTGAAGCATTTGTGTAAAGGCATTCCTTTTATGTATAGATACATTTGTAGATGATGTATTTTACATTGATTTTGACCTGCTGATATGATTTATTCCTTGATGATTGTTATATTATCATTTTGATAATATAACTTTCAGGGTTCTCCACAAGGGGTTTTACCATGGAGGTGCGCCATGGTTAAATTTGTGTGCGCCATGGTTAAATTTTAAGCCACTTAAAAGTTCATGGTTAAATTTTAGAATTTAAAACTTATTTTCAAGATGACAACTGCAATATACTATCTGTAGTTAATTGTGTTTATGTGGTGTGAAGCCCCCCAAGCGCAAAAAATAGTGTTAATTACCCAATATATCGATAAGCTGCGAATGTGCCGTGAAGCGTGAGAATTCATGAATTGAAAGTCGGTCGGCCATGTTTATATTTATGTTTTGAGTGTTATCTACTATATAAACTACTGTTAACGGGGCTCTGTATTTTTGTATTACACGTTATTTTGTTGAATTCTAACTGTGTTCAGTTCACTACATGTATAATAATTAAAAGATTTACAAGAATTCAAAGACATAGTAACGATGTTCACTTTTTAGACTACGCATCCGAGCCAGGGCAGTCGAAATTAAATAGTTTTTTAACGTCGGCAGTCTTGATGATATTAGCCCAAAAATACTCTGTAAAAAATCATATTCCTCTGTATTTAATCAATTTCCCATGCTATGTTTTTTAAGCTTTAACTTTATTATCGTTTTCGATAAAATGTGCATAGGACCTAAGTGTCAATCGCCGTCTTATTTTTAGAGTTACTTCCTGTTGTTATGAGACGTCGTGTGGCGCTATTTTTAGCACTGGGGCACGTGGAGAAGTAAACAAAACTTCGTGAAAAACGCATTATCTAGAAAAATAGAATGCTTACAAAAAAAGGACACTTATCCAATTGTTCCTTTGTGTGTTTACTTAAAAAAATACTGCCCATTCATCAGTTTTAGTCATATTTAAACAAAACATTTCATACAACAGGCTACAACAATTCTTACAATTATTAATTTCTGAATAATGTTGCCCTGGTTAATGTATCAACAATTTTTTTTAAAAATTCATTCGGAAGATTACTACAGTTTTGGGCAAATTCTGGTACATTTGTGAGGTAAATACAGGATAAATCCTTTTCAATTTTAATTCTTTTTTTTTTTTTAACTTTAAAGAGTTTACCTTCAGAGTTAGTTATTCCATTGTTTTGTGTTGCAATGGTAAAGTTTACAAATGTAAAACCAGTCATTGATTAATGAAGATTAGGAAGGTGCATTCGTGTTTTCGGTCACATTTTGTCTTCACGCAGCTTCCTCCATGGTTAAATTTTCAAATGTGGAGAACCCTGACTTTATTAATCATTGAAAAACAAGTCAGAATGGTTTCTTTGCTGAGTTAATACTGTATTAAGCACTATAAAAGTTCATTAATAAAAATCAAACCAATTGTAAAATTTATTACTAAATATTTAAAGTCTTCTGTATACCTTTATTTTTTTTCAGAAATGTAAAATGAAAAAAAAATTTAAGTGTTTTTTTTTTTGTTTTGTTAAATTATAGAGCCTAACCAGTTTTTTCTTTTTTTGGCATCTGGGATCATATTAACTGTTATATTTTACATTTATGTTTTGCTTGTGTTGTAGCTTGTTATTGTCTTGTGTTTATTTCGTACTGTTATTTGCTTATATGGAGGATGTTCATTTCGTCAACAATCAGCTGTGCTTCTCTGTTGATGGTTCCCAATATTTTCATGCATTTAAAGAATATACTTGTTCACTTTTTTAGACTACAATAGTCATTGTACTTGTTTGTTTTTTAAAAAGAAAAGTAAATTGTAATTATTTCACATTTTGATCCAAATCACTGTAGAAAAAAATATTTTAGTTTATTACAGTACATATTTTATTTGAATCTTAGTTATTACATATTTTAGAAATAGTCAAATACATGTTATTTAAAGAATGCAGATTTAACTGTATTCATGGATAAGGAAGAAACAAATAGTTAATAAAAATATTCCCAGTTATATATCCATGTCCCTTATTTCTTGTTGCTTGTAGACTTTGAACATTTTAAGTGCTGGCACGAAAAAGATCCCTCCCTGCTCAGTGGCCCTGAGTGCCGAGTATAGGACAAAATATGCAGCTCTCCACCGGCAAGTGGTGGCGTTATCATATGAGTGAAAATTTCTTGAGAGGGACATTAAACAACATTCAAACAAACAAACAAATCAAAACATTTACAGCCTCCTCTTATGATTTCAACTTATTTGGTATAAAGCCTTTGCGGACAAACAGACAAACAGCTTAACAGACGGACAGGGCAAAAATTGTATGCTAGTACCCCTGAATCTTCACTTTACGGGGGCATATAGAAATAAGAATTCTGTCAACGTTAAAGTAAAGTGGTTTTTAGCTCACCTGAGTCCAAGGCTCAAGTGAGCTTTTCTGATCACATCTTGACTATCCTCCATGCGTCCATCCGTCTGTAAACTTTTCATATTTTCTACTTCTTTTCAAAACCATTCGGCCAATTTTAACAAAACTTCGGATAAAGCGTCCTTGGGTGGAGGGGAGTTTAAATTATAAAAATGAAGGGTCAATTCCCTTCAAAAGGGGGGGAGAGAGATAATCAAAAAAGACAAAAACAGGGTGTGGTCATTAAAAAATCTTCTTCTCCAGAACCACTGGGCCAGAAAAGCTGAAACTTATGTGAAAGCATCATGGGGTAGTGTAGATTCTAAATAGTTCAAATCATTACCCTTGAGGATTGGGCAGGGCCACAATAGGGAATCAAAGTTTTACATTAAAATATATAGGAAAAAACTAATAATCTTCTGAAGAAGAACCACAGGAGCCGATGGCTGAACTTAATTAGCTTTTCTGATTGAAATTTGTCTGTTGTCTGTCGTAGTCGTTGGCGTCGTTAACTTTTCACATTTTCATCTTCTTCTCCAGAACCACTGGGCCAATTTTAGCACCAAATTTAGCACAAAGTATTCTTGGTTGAAGAAGATTAAAGTTTGTTCAAATGATGGGACACGTCGTCCTCCAAGGGGGTATAATTACGAACAAGATGTATTTGTAAAACACTGATGCCTCCGTATGGCAAAATAGCGAAGATTAAATTTTCTTATAAAAAAATGGAAATCAAATATGTTAGTACCGAAAGCTAGGCCTTCTTACACGAAATATAATTGTGAAATATGAAAGCCCTGGCACCACTTGATCATAAGTTATGACAACGTATAAAAGTAGTTCAAACTCCAGGGTCAGAGTCAAAGTTGTTGGTCTTGTCACAAGGGTTACATATGTAAAGTAAGAAAGCCCTAGCCCTGACCATTCAAAAGTTTTTGCCAAGGTTAGTTTTTTAAAGGTATATTAAACTCCAAGGTCAAAGGGTGAAAGTTGTTGGTATCCAATGGAATGTCTTATCATAAGAATTACTTATGTGAAGCATGAAAGCCCTAGCCCTAACCGTTCCAATGTTATGGCTAAGTTTTAAAAAAGTAGGCCAAACTCTAAGATGAAGGTCAAAAGATCAATGTTGTTGGTATCTAATGGAAGGTCTTGTTTCAATTAATACATTTGTGAAGTATGAACGCACCAACCGTTCAAAGGTTAATGGCCAAAGAAAAAAATTGGAATTTTTGTGTAAAAGTGTGTCAAACTCCAAGGTCAAAATTGGTGTTACCCAAAGATAGATCTTCGCACAAGGAATACACATTTGAAATATGAAAGCCATATAGCTAGACTTGCTCAAGTCTCTATGTTTATATCTACATTGTATTTTTGTTCATCAATATTTTTTCAAATTCTTTGTTCTTATTGGTATGCTGCGCATGCCCTCTGCTCGTTGTCATAGTTAAATGTTATCTATGTTTGACATTATCAAAAAGTATGAAAGAGAGCATTAAAACAAAGATACTTGAGCAAGTCTACCATATAGCCTAATCCAGTCATAAGTTATGGGTAAGGTTAAAGTTTTTGTGGACAAACGGACAGACGGACGGAGAGAGCAAAAACTTAATACCCCGAATCTTCGATTACGGGGGCATAAAAAACAAAAAATTAATGGCATCATTGAAAAATCTTCTCAAGAAAAAATGGTCCAGGAAAGATAAAACTCATGTGAATCATTGTCAGGTAGTGTTGATTCAATTCTGTTCAAATCATGACCCCCAGGGATAGGCTTGGGCCACTATGAACGATCAAAGATTTACGTAAAAACGCATAGGAAAAATCTTCTCAAGAACAGCATAGGTATGACAAAATTAGTCCTGATTTTCTAAGTATGTTCATTTGTAACCATGTTGCAGGATTATTAATCCAGTAACATAAATCCTAACTTGAATTTCTTTTTATTTTAAAACCCAGCAGGAGATGTTTTAATCTGTGGTTACATGGGTTACAACTATATTTCTTTGGTGACAATGGTTACAAAGCAAAAGAATCTTAGCAGGGGGTCTCTTAATCTATGGTTACATGGGTTACAACTATATTTCTTTGGTGACAATGGTTACAGAGCAAATAACAGCCTATAGTGTGGTCCTGATTTTTAAAAAGAAGCCTAGTTAAGTTATAAGTTTTGACGGCAAATAATTAATATTTGGTCCAGCAGAGTTTTTAAACTCATTTCAAGTATGCTGAATCCGAAAAAAATATGCTGGTCTTCATGAAAATGGCGTTGACAAGGTTAAGACGGCGAATCAAAATGGCAGATATCCAAATTTTCTGATTTTTTCTGAAAATCTTTCAAACAGAAAAAAAGTATGTGTGAATATCTCTTTGGTGTAGTGCTACTACATGTACATGTATAACACGATGTGTGTGTGAAACACCGAAGCCTCCGTATGGCAACTTATGGCGAGGTTTGAATTCCCTCAAATGCATGTTAAACCCCAAAGGTCAAGGTCAAACGAGTTGGTACCTAAAGGATGGTCTTGTGAAATAAGCAAACCCTAATTTTAACTGTTCAAAAGTTATGACCAAGGTTAAAGTTTTTAAAAAGTGGGTCAAACTCTTAGGTCAAGGTCAAAGATATCTGTACATGTACCAGCTAAAAGGTCTTGTCACAATGAATACACATATGACTTATGAATTAAAGCCCTAGCTCCAATTTGCTCAAAAGTTAATTATGGCCAACGTTAAAGTGTGGCATTTTTGTGTAAAAGTTGGTCAAACTCCAAGGTCAAGGTGAAGAGGTCAAATTTGGTGGTATCCAAAGAAAGGACTTGGCACAAGGAATAAAACCTTTGAAATATGAAAGCCATAGCCCCATCCACTCAATAGTTATGGGCTAGGTTAAAGTTGACAACAGACAGAGATAAACAGACAGGACAAATATAGTATACCATATAAGTATGGTAATAGAACGCTTATATTATTACTTTAATTCAGAAAATTTAGTCGTTTCTACCCTTAATTCTTTTCGTCTATTGTTTCTATATTCTGCTTTGTTCAGAATTTTACGCTGCAGATGGTATTTTTTTCCCTCTGGATCTCCCTATTCTACAACTGATGATCATGCAGCTGGAAAGTTATGTCAAAATGGCGATTCAGAATGATGGATATCCATTTTTTGTCCCCCGCTTGAAAAGTGGGGGATATTAATTTGGGTTTGTCCGTCTTTCTGTCTGTCTATAACGCTTTCGTTTCCACACGATATCTCGAGAACCCTTTGAGCTTTTGCAATGAAATTTAGCATAGCAACTCCCTATGAACTAAAGAAGACCCCTATTGATTTTGAGGTCAAAAGGTCAAAGGTCAAGGTCATAAATAAGCAAATTCTGTCTGTTGTAACACTTTCGTTTCCACATTATATCTCTAGAACCATTTGAACTGTTGCAATGAAATTTTACATAGCAACTCCCTGTGGCCTAATGATGACCCCTATTGATTTTGAGGTCAAAAGGTCAAAGTTCAAGGTCGTATTTATACATTCTGTCTGTGTGTAACACTATCATTTCCGGGCGATATTTGAAGAAGATTTTGAGCTTATGCAATGTAATTTTATACCAAAACTCCCTAAGACCTCTCTCACCCCTCTCAAAGTGCCCCGCCTCGTTTGTTTTATTAGTATCTATAGTATTACATGTCGCTAATTTTAGCACAGGGGCATGAGGAGAGTTATTGCGTATAAAACAGGTTCTCGGTGGACATTTTGTTCTTATTACATCTATTAGAACTGTTTAATAAAGGCTAAATAAACACCATGGACTGTATAAAATTTTGACAATACCGAACATGAATATCTACATGTATGTGACTTCACTTTTGCATATTCTAATGCCATGTAAAGCGATTTCGTGGTCTAGTGGTACGTTTCTTGCTTCGCATGTGAGAGGTCCTGAGTTCAGGTCCCGGACGGACCACTTTTTTTTTTAAGAAATACTTTTTTTTACTAAATGATAGGCCATATTTCAGACTATGTGGGCAAAAAATGTGTGGTTGAATTTCTTTCATATCATATATAAAGAGAGATTTTGTATCCTAGAACAAAATATCAAAGAAAAATTTAATTTGAGGAAAAATCTTGGCCTATTTATTGTGTCCTACTATGATTGGGAGTCTAGGCCATGCTTTTAATCTTGAAATATAATATAATCATGACTTGGTATTCTGCATTCAAAAATAAGCATGCAAGCAATTATAAATTGATATACCCATTATATTAAAGTATATTCATGAATATTTTACTGTGTACAATGTATGTTTATACCGGTATATTATTTTGAATAAACATAACTGTTACATATAAATGTAATTCATGACTGTAATTTTAAAAAGTTTATTAAAATACCCACGCACAGGATTTTCTGTTGAAATTTACAATATACATGTAACAAAAAAATTGTGTACTTGCAGCGTTAGTTTATACATATTTCACGATTTAATGACCGCAGTAGTAGAGTAATGAATGATGAATACGTAATTAAATCACGTGAGCATGATGTTTGAACATAATTCACAACTGAATTCACAAAGCAGTAACAGGTAACTACGCAGCAGACTTTCAGATCAGTTCATTACATTTTTCAGTCGAAAGTGCATTACAGGAGCCCAGAGATGATCAAAAATTGAGGTAAATATTCTAAAGCTGTTGTAATAAAAAATGTTTAAGAATTTGTTTAATTTCTCTGAGGAAGGTTGTATATTTTGACATCCCCGCCATTTTCAAAGGGTATTTTCCCTGGTCAGTGGTCAAACGACACAACTTCCAGATCTCCTTAGGCAGCTGTAGATAGTTTTACAAATGACACAAAATAGTCTGCAATTTTAGGGGAAATGTAGTTACAAGGGAATAAATAGGACAGGATATATTCGTCGCATTTAATCTTGCAAATATGCATTAAAATAAAAAAAAAAGGGTTTCCGTTAAGAGGTTTTTCACATTTTCAAAATGCAATAGAATCCATAAAAATCAACCGAATACATGAAAAATTGAAACGCATTTATTTCTTAAAAAAATTATCTCAGACCCCCCCCCCCTTCTCTTCCAGTAACCTAGCAATGTCGCTTATATAACAAGACAGGTTTGAGACATAAATATTTTGTCCTGCCCAGAGGTAGAGCATATTCTAGATTAATTGCTAAAATTGTTTTATAATTGGGAGATTGATTAATACATAAATTTATTATTTGTTTCTTGCATGCATTTGTAATTTATTTGCATCGGGATCGAAATTGTGAGTTTTAAATTTTGACATGTGGCGCGAACAGCAAATTTGGCGTCAGTGGACGGTCAGGTGAGTTGGTTGGGGAAAACAGTTAACATTATTAAAACTAACATTTGTCAGATTCAGATGCACGTATTGATAAAACGTTGATAAAGTATTTTTAAGCTGCGGAAAGAGACAGCTTAAAACCTACAGGTGAATTAATCTATAAAACAAAAAAGTGAATTATCGTTTGAAAATGTATTGTGCTTTTAGACTCTGCATAAGTTTGGGACATCAGATCCTAAGTGGGGTTAACTTTGCCCTGAATCATCTGTGTATTGATAATGCAAATATTTTTACTGACAGGCATTTTTAGGGTGTTGAAGGGGCCTGCTTTTTGCTCCATTCATAATGGCAAAAAGTATGTGTTTTCCCAATTTCACCAAAGAAAATTTCCAATCAAAACAAACAAAATCTGGTTACAAAATGTTTGGACTCTGTAATGTATAATCTAATTGATGTTCAAATAAATATATAAATGACATACTCCAAATACTGATTGAGTGAATGTTGAAGTATAGTATGTATAAACTGACAATGATAGTAATTGTTAGCTCACCTGAGCTTTTCTGATCACATGCCGTCTGTCTGTCTGTAAACTTTTCACATTTTCGACTTCCTGGGCCAATTTCAACCAAACTTGCCACAAAGATCCTTTGAAGGGGATTCAAGTCTGAAGGGCCACGCCCTCATTCAAGGGGAAAATTGGGAATTAATGAAAATTTGGTGGCATGTTTTAAAAATCTTCTTCTCAAGAACCACTGTGCCAGGAAAGATGAAACTTATGGGGTAACATCCTCAGGTAGTGTAGATTCAAGTTTGTTCAAATCATGTCCCCCAGGGGTAGGGAGGGGCCAAAATAGCCGACCAAAGTTTTACATAGAAATATATTGGAAAATTCTTTAAAAATCTTCTTCTCAAGAACCACTGTGCCAGGAAAGATTTATGGGGTAACATCCTCAGATTTCTCTCCCCCAGGGGTAGGGCAGGGCCAAAATGGCTGACCAAAGTTTTACATTATATAGGAAAATTCTTTAAAAATCTTCTTCTCAAGAATGACAGAGCCATAATTCATCAAATTTATATGGAAGCATCCTCAGGTAGTTTTTTGTTCAAATCCCCCCGGGGGTAGGGCGGGGTCAAAATGGCACCAAAGTTTTACATAGAAATATATAGGAAAATTCTTTAAAAATTTTCTTCTCAAGAATGACAGAGCCATAATTCATCAAATTTATATGGAAGCATCTTTAGGTAGTGAAGATTCGTTTGTTCAAATCATGCCCCCGGGGGTAAGGCGTTTTTACATAAAAATATATAAAAATTCTTTAAAAATTTCTTCTCAAGAATGACAGAGCCATAATTCATCAAATTATATGGAAGCATTCAGGTAGTGAAGATTCAAATTTGTTCAAATCATGACCCCCGGGGGTAGGGCGGGGCCAAAATGGCAGTTTTACATAGAAATATATAGGAAAATTCTTTAAAAATCTTCTTCTCAAGAATGACAGAGGCATAATTCATCAAATTTATATGGAAGCATCCTCAGGTAGTGAAGATTCAAATTTGTTCAAATCATGACCCCCAGGGGTGGGGCGGGGCCAAAATGGCCGACCAAAGTTTTACATAGAAATTAATGGGAAAATTCTTTAAAAATCTTCTTCTCAAGAATGACAAAGCCATTATTCATCATATTTATATGGAAGCATCTTCAGGTAGTGTAGATTCAAATTTGTTCAGATCATGACCCCAGGGGGTAGGATGGGGCCAAAATGGCAGACCAAAGTTTTACATAGAAATATATGGGAAAATTCTTTGAAGAATAGCAAATCCATGATTGATCATGGGATTACTTTTGGATTTTAACTTTTCAATAATAAACCAATTTCTACTTTTTCTAAGCTACAGTACTCAGGTGAGCAATGTGGCCCATGGGCCTCTTGTTTATATTTGTATTCAGCATTAATCATACAAGACTTACGATATTATAATACGCAATCTCTCCTGCAATACAAGTGACTAGATCTACACACCACCATGCACAACAGACGACAACTTACTCACACTTGCGCATCGCACACAGTGTCAAGTTAACACATACCTATACACACACTCATACCACACTAAACTCCCCTCCCTTTTGAAAAAGAGGGAGGTACTCCTGTACCTTAATACATCATATGCAAGTAAAAAAGTCAATGAGTACCTTGCAAATAAAAGATAAACTATTATTTATTTACATAAATAGAAAAATGACAAAATTATAGTTTTTTAAAAAATTTCAACCAAATGTCACTTTTTAGCTCACCTGAGCTGAAAGCTCAAATGAGCTTTTCTGATCACATTTTGACCGGCGTCCATCTGTCCGTCTGTCTGTAAACTTTTCACATTTTCGACTTCTTCTCAAGAACTGCTGGGCCATTTTCATTGCCACAAAGTATCCTTGGGTGAAGGGGATTCAAGTTTGTTCAAATGAAGGGCCACGCCCTCATTCAAGGGGAGATAATTGGGAATTAATGAAAATTTGGTGGCATATTTTAAAGATCTTCTTCTCAAGAACCACAGTGCCAGAAAAGATGAAACTTATGGGGAAACATCCTCAGGTAGTGTAGATTCAAATTTGTTCAAATCATGACCCCCGGGGGTCTAGCCGACCAAAGTTTTACATAGAAATATATAGGAAAATTCTTTTAAAATCTTCTTCTCAAGAATGACAAAGCCATAATTCATCATATTTAAATGGAAGCATGCTCAGGTAGTGTAGATTCAAGTTTGTTCACATGACACCAAAATGGCACAAAGTTTACATAGAAATATATAGGAAAATTCTTTAAAAATCTTCACACTCAAGAATGACAAAGCCATAATTCATCATATTTATATGCATGCTTTTGTAGTGTAGATTCAAGTTTGTTCAAATTATGACCCCAGGGGGTAGGGCAAAATGGCTGACCAAAGTTTTACATAGAAATATATAGGAAAATTCTTTAAAAATCTTCTTCTCAAGAATGACAAAGCCATAATTCATCATATTTATATAGAAGCATGCTCAGGTAGTGTAGATTCAAATTTGTTCAAATTATGACCCCCGGAGGTAGGGCGTGGCCAAAATGGCTGACCAAAGTTTTACTTAGAAATATATAGGAAAATTCTTTAAAAATCTTCTTCTCAAGAATGACAAAGCCATAATTCATCATATTTAAATGGAAGCATGCTCAGGTAGTGTAGATTCAAATTTGTCCAAATCATGACCCCCGGGGGTAGGGCGGGGCCAAAATGGCCGACCAAAGTTTTACATAGAAATATATATTCTTTAAAAATCTTCTTCTCAAGAATGCAAAGCCATAATTCATCATATTTATATGGAAGCATGCTCAAGTAGTAAGTAGATTCAAATTTGTTCAAATTTTACATAAATAGAAAAATGGCCGACAAAGTTTAAAGATATATATAGGAAAATTCTTTAAAAATCATTTTCTAAAAAATAGCAAATCCATGATTGGTCATGGGAATACTTTTGGATTTAAACTTTACAATAAAAAGCCATTTTCTACTTTTTTAGTGCTCAGGTGAGCGATGTGGCCCATGGAAATGGAATAGCCCAGCCAATTGATGTTTTGCCCCCTTTCCGGATTCTGCTGGAAATCAAGCGGTGAGGTTGTCGGCATGACATTTTACTTGCATAGATTTATTCATCAAATCAGAGATGGCATAAAAAATATGCATTTCAATCATTTTTTTGCTCACCAATATGAAGTGGACAGGAATATTAGTAACACCCATGGGATCAGTGCAAGTGTTGGTGTCCCAGATAAAAGTTTTTGGAGCAGACTTCTTTTTAAGTACATCTGTGCCCTAGCCCCTAAGGGATGCATGTAAGATGCTTCAAGTATGTTTCATTGTACCAACCAGGGTTTCAGAGACTGCAATTTCAGCTAATTTAAAAGAATGATCAGGTTAATGTTTTTGAAGCAGGTGTCATTTCCAAGTATTTTGACCAAACTTACAAGAATCGAACATGTACATCCAAAGTAAAATATATGGAAGTACACTACCAGGCTTGCCTCGGATGCTGAATCTGGCCTTTATTTTTAGCTCTACTGGTCAGAGGCCAGAAGAGCTTATGCGATAGTAATGCGGCCGTCGTCCGTCCATCTGTCTGTCTGTCCGTTTGTCTGTCTGTAAACAATTTTTCAAAATGCTACTCCTCCTACAGTTTTGGTCTGATTTCAATATAACTTGGCACACAAGTAGACTATACTAAGATACATAATTCTGTGCATCGGTTTTTGATTTCGATGAACGGTGTTGCCATGGTTACTAAAAATAGAAATTTCTGTGAAATGCATTCAAAATGCTACTCCTCCTACAGTTTTGGTCTGATTTCAATATAACTTGGCACACAAGTAGTCTATACTAAGATACATAATTCTGTGCATCAGTTTTTGATTTTGGTGAACAGTGTTGCCATGGTTACTAAAAATAGAAATTTCTGTGATATGCATAATTCCTACAGTTTTGGTATTTCAATATAACTTGGCACACAAGTTTTTGATTTTGATGAACGATGTTGCCGTGGTTAAAAATAGAAATTTCTGTGAAATGTTGCCATTTTGGTTACTTGGCACAAAATAAAAATATAATTCTGTGAAATTTTGCATTCTAAAATGAAATTTTCTGTTAAATTCTTTCAAAGTGCTACTCCTCCTACAGTTTTGGTCCGTTTTCAGTATAACTTGGCACACAAGTAGACTATACTAAGATACATAATTCTGTGCATCAGTTTTTATTTTGATGAGTGGCAAGGATCATTTTTCTAATCATTGCTGTTTTAAAGTTTCCCAACTGCTACTTTTCTCTTCCTTTGCTTTAAGTATAAACCAGTAGGGCTACAGTCTCGACAGAGACTTCTGGTTAATATGAGTGACTAGGTTAAAAGTTTTTTGAGCTAGTCTCATTTCCAAGTAACTATAAGACCTATTTTGACCAATCTTCCATGGATCCATTACCAGGCTTGCTTTAGATTCTGAATCCAACCTACCTGGTACATTTTATGGATGAGTGAAAGAGTCAAAATTTTTGGAGCAAGGAAATATTTGGAAATAGTCATTCTAATATAACTATTAACCTATTGAATGATCACAATGAAATTAGAGATATTGATGAAGGGTATTCAAATGCAAAAAATTTTTTTACCTTAAAGCTTTATTTTGAACTTGAACTTACCTCAACAAAGTCAAGATGTAGTTATGCTATACCCAGACACCAGCCTCAGGGTTAGCATTTGTGCCATGGTAGAGTTTTAGGAGCAGGTCCATGTTCTAGTAAATATAAGTCGTACCTGGACCAAAATTGCATGGATGATGCATTTTGGAATGGACACTACCAGACTTGCTTCGGATGCTGGAACTGACCCACATTTTCCAGATGAGTAACCAGGTTAAGGTTTTTGGAGCAGGTCCATTCCCAAGAAACTGTAAGTCCTACCCGATCCAAGCAAGCATGGATGATGCATCTAGGAATGGACACTACCAGACTTTCTTCGGATGCTTGATCTGACCTACTTTTTCCAGATGAGTGATGAAATTATTCCCAACTCAGCTCTACCCTGACCAAACTTGCATGGATGATGCATCTAAAGATGGGCATTTGAAACTTGCTTCGGATGCTGGACCTGACCTGCATTCTTCAAACGAGTGACCAGGTTCAAGTATTTGGAAAATGTCAATCCTCAATGAACTTTAAAACCTATTTAAACAGAATTTGCTTGAATATTGTTGTCAGGATAAATGCTAACTGTTAAGGGAATATGATGTGAGATTTGCATTACTTAAACTGATAACATTCGTCTATGTGAGCTTCATAATCTTTTATTATCTATGCTTTTAAATGAAGTTTCATACTTCATGTGAAATGAGAGTGTCTCCCCTATGATGTGCCTGTTTTCTCTTTATAAGAGCAGAAGAAATTTGAGGCTGACCAGGATCCTGAAGTGAGGAGCAGTCCCTTTCCCATTTAACAGCATTCATGAGCAGAAAATGGGGTAAGATTCATACTTGACCTCTTTGTACCTTTTCCCAGTATTTTGGCTTTGCAATTGATGTTGGCTTTGTCAGGCTTTGACCTATTGATTTTGAATTGACAGGAAGCAGAAATGCTGAGACAGTTCAGAAGAAACATCACCCAAAGCCACAGCAACAGCAAAGGAAGCTTATATGGAAGTATTTTTGATTTTCTCCCTACTTTTCCCTACCCCCTGGCCCCTGCTGACTCTAACATAACTAACCATCCCCTTCCCTTTCCCCCTCTTTCCTGAATTCACTGTCATTGTTTTCTGATTTTTCAACGAATTGTGTTGTACTGATTTTATTCACTTGAATTTTTGTGATTTGTTGCATTCTTTTGAAGTTTTACTAACATTGTGCCAGTTTTATACTTTCAGGGACTGGGAAGAGGAACAACGATGGAGGAGCAGGGTCGACCAACAGAGGAAGACGAGATGACGTGTCCATTTCCCATCTCTATGCAGCAACCAATATTACTCAGGGTTGTAAGTAACAAATTTATTATTTAAATGAAGTTTGTCATTTGTTAGGGAATGTGAGTGATTCTCCTTTGATGTGTTTGTTTTCTCTTTTTAAGCAGAAGAAATTTTAGGCTGACCAGGATCCTGAAGTGAAAAGCAGTCCCTCTCCCATTTAACAGCGTTCATGAGCAGAAAGTGTGGTAAGATTCATACTTGACCTCTGAGCACCTTTTCCCAATATTATGGCTTTCCAATTGATGTTGGCTTTTTCAGGCTTTGATCACTTGAGTTTGAATTGACAGGAAGCAGAGATAGCCACCTCTGAAGGTCAGTCTGGAGTGTTTTCTGCTGCATTCAGAAAGTATGGGGTGTATAGTAGTTGTAAGTAGCGTTACAAAGGTGTTTCTTAGTCTTAGGTTTAGTTTGTATAGTATTTCCGGTAGGTGCAGTTGTGTTGTAGTTTGAGTCAGTAAGTAGGCTTTAGTTGATAGTTAGACAGCTTAGAGGAGTGTAGGTTATTATTGTAATTAAGGTATTTGTTAGTTAGTGCATGTTTAGTGCTTGTGGTGGATAGGTTTGCTTGATTAACACCCTAACAGGCAGGGTTCTCCATGAGGTGTTTTACTGTGTTGGTCCCGACACAGAAAAATGTTCTCCGACACAGTAAAGATTCAAATTTTATCTGTGCGACACATTAAAAATTTTGCCGACACAGTAAGATCTGTGATAATAAAAAAAAATTAAAACGTACAAATTCTCTCAATCTGAAACATAATTGATCAAACAATTCTACCGTCTTTCAATTCTATACGATATCTAGATTAATTATGCTTTCACCTTGCATAATCAATTATTTCCTAGACCCTCAATGGACTTGAAGCATGAAGGAACAAAGACAAAAAATTGGATTTCAAACTTCCTTGTAACGCTTAATTGGTACTAGTAGTTGCAATTAAAGTACATTGTATTAATTTTAAAAATATATTTAAATGTCTTTTCTTTAGAGCCATGGCTCTACAATTATGTTTGCAATGTAAATCAAACATAACACTGAAACAAAATCATTTACTTGATGTAAATAAATAGTTTTCAATTTTCAAGGAACTTTTAAAAGTATTTTACTATTCTGAAGTCTCTTTTTTTGTAATTCCTTAATTCGATCAATAAAATTGACAAAAAAATTGACAAATTTGCTTTAAAAAATTGTAAGTTGTTCAACTTTATAGACAAGAATTTCCTCTGCATTTCACAACATGTGCTAATATGTTCGACCATACTATTTTTGTAACGAATTGGTGATTTTTTTTTTTAAATTGTGTGCATGTATTCTTAAGTAATTATAATGAATAGTGAGTCAGTTGCAAATTTGATCGCTAAAATACCGTAAAATTTCAGTGCTTTGCGTAAACTCTGCAACACAGTAAAATTTCAAACAATGGAGAACCCTGAATAAGTAACAAGCTACTAAAACTACTAACGTCTGCTAAATGTTGTGTGACGCGTCTAGTGTGTTGGTGTTAGTGTCTGTGTGCTTGTCACCTCTCAGCTTTCAGCCATCACCGCTGGCTAGCAAATGCGAAAAGGAGGAAGAAATTCTAATGACTTCCCCTGCCAGTTTTTGATTCTCCACAACAAGTCCTATGCGATGCCTCCACGTGGAAGCAGACGGATACTGGGTATCATTTTGTCCCAGGCTAAGTTCGCAAGGACGCACGGGAAGATGAGTCTCAAAAGCATTGGTAAACATCTCATATAGGATCTCTCCTGATCACAAACCCAATTTAGTAGTAGAATCAATTGATATAAGTGCTGGTTTTTAAAAGAAGTGAACCTTGTCATCTGTTCGTCCGTCCATCTGTAAACTTTTCACATTTTCGACTTCTTCTCAAGAACCACTGGGCCAATTTTGACCAAACTTGGTACCAAGCATTCTTGAGTAATCGGAATTTAAATTGTTAAAATGAAGGGCCAAGTCCCCTCACAAGGGGAGATAATTCTTTCAAAAGACAAAACTAGGGTGGGTCATTAAAAAACTTCTCAAGAACCACTGGCCAGAAAAGCTGAAACTTCTGTGGAAGCATCCTTGGGTAGTGTAGATTCTAAATTGTTCAAATCATGACCCCTGGCAGTTGGGCAGGGCCACAATGGCGAATCAAATTTTTACATAGAAATATATAGGAAAAATCTTTGAAAATCTTCTGCTCAAGAACCACTAGGCCAGAAAAGCTGAAACTTGTGTGGAAGCATCCTGGGGTAGTGTAGATTCTAAATTGATCAAATCATGACCACCTGGGGTAGGGTGGGGCCACAATGGGGAATCAAAAGTTTTACATAGAAATATATAGGAAAAATCTTTGAAAATCTTCTTTGTAAGAACCACTGGGCCAGAAAAGCTGAAACTTATGTGGAAGCATCCTGGGGGTAGTGTAGATCTCAAATTGTCTAAATTTTGATCAGTGGGGTAGGGTGGGGTCACAATATGTGTTACAAGGGGGAAATCTGGTAAAGAACAGAATGGTCAAAGCTTCTCAGGTGAGCGATGTGGCCCATGGGCCTTTTGTTTGTAAAATTTCACATTTTCATCTTTGGTCAAATTCAACGAAACTTGGCAAAGAGTATCCTTGGAATAATGCCATTATGGGATTTAAGTTTATTCAAATGAAGGCCCACTCCCTCTTCAAATGGAAGATTACTACAAATAAGAGAAAAATTAAGGACATCTTTTAAAAATCTTTTCAAGAACCACTGAGACAGGAAAGAGGCACTTATGTGGCATCATCCTCAGGTAGTGTAGATTCAAAATTAGTCAAATCAAGACCCCATGTTGGTGTCAGAATAGGGGATCAAAAATATATATAATACTGTAGATTCCTTATTTTTTGCGAGTAATTATCGCGAATAGGATTTTCACCGTCAAATCACAAGAATAATAATTCGCAAATGCATGATTGGTTAAGAGATTTTACATAGATTTCAGCGCCATAAAAATAAAGGCGAGTAATTTAATTTTGTGTGTGGTGCTTCTCACGAAATTACGCAAAAATTAATTCCACACACATATTTAGGAATCTACAGTATGTAGGGATATACTTTTTTTTTCTCAAGCCACAATTAGTTATATTGATAGCAAATCATCTTTTTTGGTAGTGAAGATTTCATTTTGTTCAAATCGTCTACCAGGAAAAGGTTTGGGCCACATTGGACAATCAAAGTTTTACATTTGATTATATTGGAAATATTTTTAGAAATCTTCTCAGAAACAAATATGTCATGACTGGTGATATGTATACGGTAGCATCTTCATGTAGTGTAGATTTAAGTTTGTTCAAATCATGACTCCCAGGTGTAGGGCAGGGCCCCAATGGTGGATCAAAATGGACAGGGGAATACTGTAAATCACTTTTTATTCACGAGAACTTTATTTTTACATTATTACGTGAGACGGTATGGTCGCGAAAATTTGATTCTCGCGTATAATATAATTCCTTAAGATTATATAGAGAGCAGTGACCACAATTTTGAAAATTTTGTCTCGCTAATGAAGAGTCATTGACTATGTCGCGAAAAAAAGGTGTCGCGAAAATTAAGTGATTTACAGTATATATACTGAAAGGAAAAAGAAACGCAGGGTAACATAATTTTCGATAAAAATTTGACCACATAACCGAAAATTATCCTTGAAAATTGGTCATTAGGGAAATTTAGTTACTGAGCATCAAAATCAGTATTCAAATGAATTACTACAAATAAGAGAAAAATTTATGACGTCTTTAAGGAAAACTTCTTTTCAAAGAAAACACGTGCAATTTGATAACGACGAGTTTGTCAACAAATCTTGTTGCATTATTTGATGCATATGAGGTATGCACATGTTTTTCAATATTAAGACACATATATGAATTTATTGCAATCTTGGCACAGTTTACAGAAGTTCAATGGGATCTTGTTTTCGAATTGCCTAATTAATGAAAAAGGCAACAGCGGTTTACTAAGCAGTCTTTTGAAAATTTTCCCCCATAAGACTTTTTACCCGTTGTCAGAGAGGGTCTGGAATGGTTTTCAATCAACCGTGACGATGACGATAACGCGAAACAGAGCCATGTTACGAACGGGATATTCGTCCTACTATCTCTTAAATCGCCACCTCACTACCATAAAAACAGCAATTTATAGAGTAGACGATTATAATCATTACATTCATACGAAATTTGAAAGAAAACAATTCCGCAATTTGGTTTTTTGAGCCATATTTACGGTTGTATTCCTCTCACTGGCGCATGCGCGCGCCGTTTCACTTACTTTTTTCGTGGTTACTCATGCTAAATATAGCCAGGGTTTGAAAGATAAACACTCTGATGAAATTCCATGCAAAGGAGAAACAAGACTCTGACAAATGCACGAGATAGACACTGAAGATAATGAGAGTTTACAATTATCACTTTTGGGGGGTATCGTCATTTGAGCTTCAATAACTCATGAATAATTAGTCATATTCATATGAGAACTTGGTTCTATCTTTTTGAAAGATGATTTTAAAAGGTAGATAGGAAAACTAAAAAGTATTTTAAGAAAAACAAATTTAATTCCCCTCAAAAGTTTACCCTGCGTTTCTTTTTCCTTTCAGTATAGGAAACGTCTTCTCAATAATACCAAAGCCATATATAGTCATATTGATATGGAAGCATCCTTAGGTAGTGTAGATTCAAATTTGTCCAAATCTTGATTCCAGGGGGCAGGGAGGGGCATCAATGGGGATAAAATTTTAACAAAGGAATATATAGGAAAAAATTTTATGTTCAAAAACAGCTAAGACATTGTTATTGATATGAAAATGTCTCCAAGTAGTTATTCAAGCCCCCTTCTCCTCTTCCTAAATTTTATACTTTTCAGTACTGGACTAATTTGTCATTTACTAGCCAATATGCTTAGGTGAGCATATTGCCCATTGGCCACTAGTTTATTTTAGAAATCTTCTCACTTGGTATGAAGTGCAAGTGATCCCCTTTTGGTGTCTGTTAATTTTTATCTTTTTAAGAGGAATACTTTTAAGGCTGAACAGGATCCTAAAGTTAGGAGGACTCCCTCTCTCGTTGAACTGCATACAGCAGCAGAAAGCAGGGTAAGATTAAGATTTTACTTCTTGTATCTTTGCTTGCCTATTGATGTTGGCTGTACCAAGCTTTAAAATCTGGACCTTCAATTGACAGATTTCAGTTCCCCTTTGATTCAGAAGAGGAACAGCAATAGAGGACCAAGGTCATTAATACAAGAAGAGTCTATTCCTGTCTGTGTTTTGCAGGTATTATGTTTCAAAAGTGGTAAGCAACAAGCTGCTTTTTACTGAAGCTTCTCACTTGGTATGAAGTGCAAGTGTTTCCCCTTTTATGTCTCTGTTTTATATTTTTAAGCAGAAGAAGTTAAGACTGACTAGGAATTCTAAGTGAGGAAGAGTCCCTTTCCCATTCCGCTGCAGCCATGAGGAGAATACTCGTAAGAATCAGACTTTACTTCTTTTTTACCTATGGAACTTCATCATGACCCACTTTAACAGGCAGGAGTCTTACAAGTATTTTTAGCTCACCTGAGCCGAAGGCTCAAGTGAGCTTTTCTGATCACATTTTGAAGGGGATTCAGGTTTCTTCAAATCAAGGGCCACGCCCTCATTCAAGGGGAGATAATTGGGAATTAATGAAAATTTGGTGGTATGCTTTAAAAATCTTCTTCTCAAGAACCACTGTGCCAGGAAAAATGAAACTTATAGGGAAACATCCTCAGGTAGTGTAGATCCAAATTTGTTCAAATCATGACCCCCCCCCTCCCCGGGGGTAGGGCGGGGCCACAATGACCGACCAAAGTTTTACATAGAAATATTTAGGAAAATTCTTTAAAAATCTTCTTCTCAAGAAATAGCGAAGCCATAATTGATCATATTTATATGGAAACATCCTCAGGTAGTGTAGATTCAAATTTGTTCAAAGCATGACCCCCGGGGGTAGGGCTGGGCCACAATGACCGACCAAAGTTTTACATAGAAATATTTAGGAAAATTCTTTAAAAATCTTCTTCTCAAGAATAGCCAAGCCGTAATTGATCATATTTATATGGAAGCATCCTCAGGTAGTGTAAATTCAAATTTGTCCAAATCATGACCCCCGGGGGTAGGGCGGGGCCACAATGGCCGTCCAAAGTTTTACATAGAAATATTTAGGAAAATTCTTTAAAAATCTTCTTCTCAAGAATAGCCAAGCCATAATTGATCATATTTATATGGAAGCATCCTCAGGTAGTGTAATTTCAAGTTTGTTCAAATCATGACCCCCGGGGGTAGGGCGGGGTCACAATGGCTGACCAAAGTTTTACATAGAAATATATAGGAAAATTCTTTAAAAATCTTCTTCTCAAGAATAGCCAAGCCATAATTGATCATATGTGTATGGATGCATTCTCAGGTAATGTAGATTCAAGTTTGTTCAAATCATGACCCCTGGGGGTAGGGCGGGGCCACATTGGCCGACCAAAGGTGCTCAGGTGAGCGATGTGGCCCGTGGGCCTCTTGTTTAGTTAATTCTTTCTGACATATCTTTGTCCTCCCTACTCTAAAGTAACTATGCTTTCCTTGCCTTGCGCCAATATTCCACCTTATTCCTAGCTATCATAACCTTATTGTCTTTATTTGCTTTTTGATTTTCAAGCTAATAATGTTGTAATGATTATGTTCATTTGAATTTCTGTGATTATTACATTGCTTTTTATTATTGCTTATCTTCTCTCCATCCAGTATTTTCAAGGCATTTGACAAGGGAAGAGGACCAGTGCTGACCAAGTGAAGAAAAAGAAGAGTCTATTGCCAAGCTTTGTACAGCAGCCAATATCTGATTAAGGAGTGGGTAAAAAGATTTATTTTTTGCAATTTACAAATTTTCTTTATACACTTATCAAATCATAGGTCCAGGGGGATTTACTTCTGCTGCACAACAGCAAGACTGTGTTGCAATAACAATAGGGCATCCCGAGGATGTGTTGTTTCAAATTAGGTTACATCATGATCCCTTTGGACTAGGATTAGTAAAAAAAATATGAATTAAGAATTTTTCTTTTGATGACAAAGTCAAGGTGACTCAGGTGAACATTTTGTCACAAGGTATTTTTGTTCATGTTTTTTTCATTACCTTTGGATTTCCTTTGTTAACAAGTAGAAGATGAGACTGATCTCAATCAGTTAACAAGAATGTGGAAAGTAAGGACTTACTACTGTCTAACCTAAACATTGATGGTTAGTCAGATCAGATGCATGTAAAGCTCTAGACCTTGCATTATGTGAATTAGAGGAGATTTTGACTCTCTCATTGCTTGGATTCTTAGTGTCTTTTTGTTAATAGGCAGACGGTTATGCTGGCATTGATCCTGTTTCCAAAAGCAGATCAACATGATTCCTCAAGACTCCAAAGAGATCAACTATGGGACCTGAAAATAAAGGTAAGACACATGTACAAGCTCTGCAAAATCCTTCTATTCTGTAAAAATATGTTAGCTATTTTTCATTTATTAAGATTTTATTAATATTTATGTTGAGTCCTTGTGATTTCTTTTTTTACAGGCAGACTGCCATCAATTTCATGTTTCTTTGATAGCAGACAAATATGCTTCAACAATAGTGCAGAGAGTAATTTAAGGTTTGGACTGCAAGTGATGGACACACTAAATAACTCAACTCAAAGAATTCAATGGATAGTGCTGAGTACATTATTATATATCTACAAAGTGATGGGCACACTAAATAGCTTAACTGACAGAATTCAATGGACCGTGCTGAGTACATTGTTATCTACAAAGTGATGGACACACTAAATAGCTTAACTCACAGAATCCAATGGACAGAGTTGTGTATGTACTAATATCTACAAAGTGATGGACACAGTAAACAGTTTAATTCCCAGGATTCAGTGTACCATGCTGAGTACATAACTCATTAAGGATAACTCATATGACATCCACAGCAGATCACTCAAAGTTGTGTTACTACATTATTGTACAACTTTTCATATACTACATTATTTTTTCTGAATGTTTTTTTTTTGTATCTGTATATTATATTTTTTAATTTAAAAAAGTTAAAGATTGGATTTTTAAGCAAAAATATCAAGAGAGGTAAATCAGTGCTTGTCTGAATATCTAAGCTGAAGAGAAAGGGAGGTAATTTTTTTTATTGTGAATCCTTGTCCAGAGCATATGCTTTCTCCCCTTGGTCCAATGTGGCTAATACTCCTCTCACAGAGTGCCACTGGTCAATGGATGTGTAGTGATCTTGAACAAAGTTTCTAGGCCAAGAGTCAAGGTTAAAACCCCTTTCAGTTACTTTACATTTTTATGTTCATTGCTAAAAGTGGGACCCTTTGAGATGGCCACCATCTCAATGATATCTAATTTTAGTTTGAAAATTGCTAGAAAAGATAAAGTGATCTCATTGTAACATTATTATTTTTTAGTGTTTTAGATTATAAATAAATATAACAATATGCAAAATCTAAATTCTTTTATATTTTCTCTCCTTTGATTTACATAGCAGACCTTGCAGTTTTTAGCTCATATGAGATTTTCTGATCACCTGTTTTCCGTCGTCCATCCGTCTGACTGTCCATTCATCTGTAAACTTTTCACATTTTTAGCTTATTCTTGAGAACCATTGGGCCAATTTTGACCAAACTTAGTACAAAACATCCTTGGGTAGTGGGAGTTTAAATTATAAAAATAAAGTCCCCTTCCGAGGGGAAATTGTCAAGGATGGGGTCATAAAAAAATCTTCTCAAGAACCACTGGGCCAGAAAAGCTAAAACTTCTGTGGAAGCATCATGGGGTAGTGTTACTAGTGTAGATTCTAAATTGCTTGGATCATGACCCCTGGGGATTGGGAAAGGTCAAGATAGGTATTAGGGGGAAATCTGTTTAATAACATAATGGCCAAAGTTACTCAGGTGAGTGATGTGGCCCATGGGTTTCTTGCTTATCTAATTTAGTTTTATCTTTGTATGCAACACTTTTTCCTTCTTTTAGTTGTTACTGAGGTTCTAAGTAATTTAACTTTTTAATGAAATATTTTTCCTTGTCAAGTTCTATACGCATGTTCTACCTCATACACAAGTAGTATATGAAGATTTTCTAGATGTTTCATATTTTTTCAATTTTTCTTGAAAAGCATAACTGATGTACATGTAATTGTAAAAACTGTGTTTGTCCCTTGTGATACATGATTAATTTATGTCAGTTTGAATTTATCATATATATTAAAATACACTATTATACAGTCTGTTTGTCATGGAATTAAACTTGTTGAGTTTTTATTCCACCTCTATAATTGAAGATTTGGGGGCATATTTTGATAAACTCACAGTCTGTCTGTTTATGTGTCTCCAAATTTACTAATTTTTACTACCCATGGCCATTCCTTTTGAACTTTTTTCAACCTTTAAGTTAGACTTTGACCTACTTTGGTAAAAAAAAAATGATGTGAATGATTAGTGCTAGGGCTTTCATACTTCAAATGTGTATTCCTTGTAATGAAACTTCTCCTTTTACCCCAAACAAAGGAAGTTTTAGGGATATATAGGAATCACATTGTCTGTGAATGTAATTTTGTCTAGGCTCTAACTTTGATATATGGAAACATTGGAAGCTTATACTTGTTATAGAGCTTGATTGTAATGACCCGACAGTGAGTCCTGATCTGACACAAGGTCATTCCTGCAAGTTCAAGGTCACTGGCCTAAAAGTATGAAATTTTTGTCTAGGTCATAACTTTGTAGAAAGAATCACTGGAAGCTCAAACCTGGTACGGGGATTGCTTATGACCCAAAAATGTGTCATGATCTTATCCAGTCATTCCATTTAGTTCAAGGTTACTATTAGAAAAAAGGTATGACATAACTTGACTTTGTAATGGAGAGTCAGTGGAAGCTCATACTCGGTACAGATATTGCTTATGATCAAAGAATATGCCTTGACCTTTATCCAAGGTCATTTTGGCGATTTCAAGGTCACTGGTAGAAAAAAGAAAATTGGTACAGGTATTGTTTTTGAAATAAGGAAAGTTCTTATTTTAATCCAGTGTCAATGCAGCAAGTTCAAAGTTACAGGCAGAATAGTGTAAAATTATTTTTTTAAGACTTTAACTTAACAATGTAGAAATACTAGGAGCTCGCACTTGATACAAAGATTGCTCATTGGAACCTGATACAGGTACTGTTTATGAACCTAAGGAGTGTCATGACTTTAATTCGAAGTCAAACTAGAATCTACATTACCTGAGGATGATTCCATATAAATATTACTAATCATGGCTTTGAAGTACATAGCAAGTGAAAGGTTGGTGGTATAAGAATTAAAAATTATGACAAGCCTTTACTATCTGATGGAGAAATACCTGTACGTATGCACGACGATTCACTTAAGTTTACTAATGATCAAAGTATATGTGAATTTTGACTAGTCTCAGTTTTTTTGGCAAGAAATTGAAATGAAATGGCAAATTGAAAAAAAAAATCATTTTGGACCAATCCCGATCAAAATAAAACCATAATGAATAAAATAACAAATTATTGCCTTCTTTATTGTCCCCCGCTTTAGCGAAAGCGAGGGGAAATTAAATCTCATTCATCTGTCCGTCCATCACAAAAACTTTAACCTTGCCCATTATTTTTGATTTAGTGTAGCTATGACTTTTATATTTCACTTGTGTGTCCCTTGTGAGAAGACCTTTCTTTGGGTACCACCATATTTGACCTTTTGACGTAGACCTTGGAGTTTGACCCACTTTTACACAAAAAATCCAAACTTTTACTTTGGCCATGTCTTTTGAATAGTAGAAACTAGGAATTTCATATTTCACATATGCATTTTTTGTGTCAAGGCCTTTCATTGGATACCAACAATTTTGACCTTTTTACCTTGACCTTAGAGACCTATGAAAAAACTTTTATCTTGACCATAACTTTTGAACGGAAAGGGCTAGGGCTATCGTACTTTACATATGTAATCCTTGTGAAAAGACCTTTCATTGGATACCAAGAACTTTGACCCTTTGACCTTGACCTTGGAGATTGACTTACTTTTCCAAAACTTTTACCTTGGCCATAACTATTGAACAGTTAAGGTTAGGGTTTTCATCCTTCACATATGTATTACTTGTGACCTTTTTAAAGAAATCAACAACTCAGATCCTTTCACCTTGGAGTTTGACCTACCTTTCAAAAATGTATCCTTGGCCATAACTTTCTTTTGAACAGGGGGGTGGGATTTTGTATTTCACAATCGTATTTCTTGTCTGAAAACCCTACTTTGGGTAATATCAAATATATTTCATTTGAATTAAGAAATGTTAAATCTTTGTTATGTTGCCATACGAGGTCATCTGTGTTTCAAAAACACATCTTGTTCCTTATATTGAGAAGAGATATGGCTTTCGTATTTGACATGTTCATTACCTGTGCCGAGATATTTCCGAGCATACTATGATTTCTTACCCCGTGACCTTCACGATTGATCTTATTTAAAAAAAATCAACTTCAGTGATTATTTCTAAATAAATGACATTTGATAGGGTGTTCATATTATACACAATGTGTCATAAAAAAATGACATCTCATCCACAAATACACCGAAAGCGGGGGACCACAATTCTTTGAATTTGCTTGTTTCTAATAAGTTCTTAATGTCGTTCAAATAGGAGAAAGGATGTGTTAAACTAATATCTTACTCGGCGTAATGCAACTATGAAAACGATAAAAGAACACTAACATTATCACGTTAATTCGGAAAATTTAGTCGTTTAAATTTGAAAGTTGTGTTAATTAGCTCAAAATGGCGAACGCGTGTCTTTCATAAAATACTCAAAATGCTTTTTTTTTTTTAAATTTTGAGTCTTTCTGCAGAAAATAAAATGAAATTAATGGCAGTTTGCACTTTTAAATTAAAATAATGTTGAAATATTCATTAAAACTTTGAGGATAATGTTATTAATGACTAATGATTTTTATGACACGGACCTTTGTTTTATTACTTCTTTTATTAAGTGAGCTATTGACAACACATAGGCGTCGGAACCGGGGGGCTAGGGGGGGTCTTAGCCCCCCCACTTTTTTCCAAATATATACGTAGTGTAGACATTGAACATATCTTCGTAGGTTTAGCCCCCCCCCCCCCACTTTCCACAGGTACGTCTTAGTATAGGTTAAAATGGGGAAAGTGGTGGTGTTTGGAAAAAATTTTGGTACCGAAGTTCGAACTAACCCCCCACCCCCACCCCCCCCACACTTACACTTAGCCCCCCCCCCCCACTTTCAATTTGCTTCCGACACCAATGCAACATCTACGAAGAAAGTTTACCTATTACCCGTTGAACCATGCTTCTTTTGATATAAAAAGTTAAATCAAACTATTTTTTGTTATTTTCAACTTAAGGAGTATTGCGCATTTATTGTGAGTGAAATTGATGAAGATTGTAGAATTCAACATGTTCAACCAAGCAATAATTTATTACTCAAATATAATCAAACACTTGCAAACAAATTTCAATTTTGTCATCTGCGTTATTCAAGCTTTTTTCTTCCTCGACATTTTCTCTTTCATTTTTTCTCTCCTTTTCTTCTGCTTTCATCTTCATTTCTTCTAGTTCTCTCTGAATTCTTTTTTTCTTCTTTAGTTTGTTAAGCTTCTCTTTTTTCATCTTCCTTCTTCTTTCTCTCTTCGAAAGCTTCATTTGAGGTTATAACTGAAATGAAGCTTTTGTTTTTAGCTCTAATTGTCAGAGACCAGAAAAGCTTATGCGTTAGTAATGCGTTCGGCGTCCGTCCGTCTGTTTGTAAACAATTTTTCAAAATGCTACTCCTCCTTCAGTTTTGGTCTGATTTCAATATCACATGGCACAAGTAGATTACACTAAGATACATAATTCTGTGTATCGGTTTTTGATTTTGATGAACGGTGTTGGCATGGTAACTAAAACTAGAAATTTCTGTGAAATACTTTCGAAATGCTACCTCTTGGTCTTTGGTCTGATTTCAATATAGCTGCAGAACTGTAGCTCTCCGAAAAAATATATATTGACAGACTGGAGAGCTACAGTGCCACCTAGATAGAACGTTCTATCGTTAAAATGATATTGTCCTACGGACCCGGTTTAACGATAGAATTCGTTCCGTGTATTCGTAATATAGCAAAAGAAACATGGGCGATAACTCGTACTCACTATAACTCAGTGCATTTACTACGAACAATATAGAGAGTTC